TTGTAGTAGCTAATATTTAGTTGTTAATTAGTTATTGTTTGGTTGTTCTTACTGTAATATTTGTATAGAAAGTATTCATAAATATTTCTATCATTATAAAATGCGAAAGTTAAAATGGTTGGATGTTGATAAGAGTTTGGAGACTGAATGTATCTGGATGAAATTTGGCAAATACGTAGAACATAGTCTGGAAGAACACATAGGCTACATATATACTTTAGTTTTTTTATATCACTCGGACATAGCCGCGAGCGATAACTAGCAAGTAAATAGGAATAAGACAAACCATGGAGTTGGTGGCGGGCAGACGCGTGCGCAGCAGCTGCGTGACGACGTCGACGATGCGCTGGTGCAGGCGCGGGAAGCGCAGCATCTCCTGCTGCACCTCCGTGCCGCAGTGCTGCACGATGCGCTGCATCTCCTCGTGCACCTGCGACACAACAAACACACAGTTTAACAATGGTAATGCCCGCTTTAACAGCAGTGCAGGGCCGGCTCGCCCCCAGTAATACCACGACTACACAGAAGACAGCCGTGAAATGGAAGCAATTCCGTGCTTCGTCTGAGAAGTGTGGTGCCTAATTTAAATTCCTTTTCCTTTACCACCCTTTTCTTATAAGGGGAGGATGGGAAGGGGAAGTGGATTTACCGGTGGAGTAGATGTATAGGAAGGGGAAATATTCTCTTTATGTGCGTCTCTTCCTCCGTCGGATAAGGGTAGGCCAACGCATCTGCAATTGCGTATGTCTATGGGCAGCGGTTGCTTCGCCATTTTAGCGGATTTAGGTGGCCGCTTGCTCGTTTGCCACCTTATGATATAAAAGAAAAGACACAAACATAAATAATTAAGCGCCAATAGCCTAACGGTTTGGGGTGCGGACTACCTATCTTGCGGTCGAGGGTTCGAATCCCGCCATTCGACTATCGTCGTGAACCATATCCTTGCATAAGTCTAGAGCTTAGTTGGAATGGTTAAGGGAAATATTAGTTAATTAACAAAAACATACTAAAATTTCTTAAAAAAAATACTAACTGTTGGTAAAACGTGCGTCAGTGTCAGTAATCTACAGGTCTTGGGTTCGAATCTCGCCGTACCATTGTGATTTTCGAATTTCATATCTACACAATTTACCCGATGTTCTTACGGTGAAGGAAAACATGGTGATGCAACCTGCACATATCGACGAAGAAATTCAATAATATGTCTCGACCCGCTGCGGGCCATTGACTAAGGTCTAGTAACAACTTAGGTTAGCCTCTAGTTAGGTCAGGGGGGCTTTGCGGTGGCATGCGAAAGCGATCCCGTGTCGTCCCAAACAATGGCCAGGAGGAAACAGTGGGGTTTAGTGGGTAAGTCCCATAACAAGAAGAATCCCACATAACTCTCGTGCCTGCCCCGAGGCACGGAGTATGCATAAAGAATTCCCCTCTGGAAAAAAGGCTCTGGGTAGGAGCTGGTGATGATGATCAACTTTAGTTATTACTGTTAATGTTCATATTTCATTTTTATCATCATTTGATATAAACATTGTTAAAAAAAATTATAGTTAAGATTTTTGCTGTATTTACTACTTATGTTTTTTGTTTACTATGTTTTTCTTTATTTCATTGTAATTGCTTGATAATATGTATAAATGATTAAAAGGTGTAACGCCTATAAACCACGTAAGTGGTTTGGCGGGTATGACTTATGTCTTATGTATGTATTTTGGAAATAAATAAAAAAAAAGTTCTAAAAATATGACAACATTTTTACCAATTCGACGCAGCGCAGCGAGGGATCCTCCAGCCGCCTGATCTGCCTCTTGACGAGCAGCTCGAAGGAGACCTCGGGCACGAAGAGCGCCGGCCGCGGCCCCGTCGCGTTGCGGATCGCCGTCAGAATGTCCATTCTTGTTAAACCTGTTACATACCAAATTAATACTATAACAGAGTAAGTTTTGATGCAAGATTTCGTTAAATATGTAGCCAGTGCAGAACTAAAAAAAACTTTGTCACCAACGAATTTAAAAACAGTAAAAAAATATCTTATTACTCAGTGATAATGTAGCTTTCTAATGGTGATTTTTTTTCTAAAACTCAATTCTTTCCTCGTGTATAGTCAAGGGAGTTTATTCCTTTTTCATTTAGGTGAAGTTGCAAATAAAATTAAGTAATTAAATAATAAGCATATTAAAATACAGACTAGCATGTTACATTGAAATGTAAATGTGAAGATAATTTAATTCTTTCACTTTACATTTATTAGGGCCTGTTCCACCAAATTATTAATTGTCTTATAACAATGCAACATGTAAAATATGTGATGGAAATATTGGATTTTGTCCCTTATCTGACAATGACGTCATTTTTAAGTTATCTGAGTCTCTAATAGCCAGTGGTGGGACAGGCCAGGTTTTACAATGTAAAATGCTTACCAACTAATGGGTGTATAGAGTCCAAAGTCCTTCCAAATGTCTCATGGAATATATAACAAATTCTTGCTCCTCCACACAATTCTGTTGTTTCAATATTCCTGGCTGTACCCTCTATAGTAGAGCAGTACGCGCTTGCGAACTTCGTTATGATTTGTAACAGGGTCTGTGATTTGTCGGACACATCCTCACCGTAAGAGTTCAGTAATGATTGGAATTGTGATATCATTACGTTAACACGGACCTGTTGAATTTAAATTATTAATCAACTATATTAATTTTTGCCAGTCTCATGAAAATACAGAATATTCGACTGTGCAAGAGTAAAAAGTACAGATTTTTCCCTATCTCAAATACCATAATGAAATATAAGTAAGTCAAGCTAAGCATATTTGCTACTAAAAAAACAGGTATTGAATTAAGTTGTTCCCATCAATCCTATTATAAATGAATTTTACTGTACATACAAAATTTCGCATTTTATAATATTAATAGCAATTTGTATGGTTTTTTCATGTTTTTGGGTATTCAGTTGAGAAACATTCGCAATTTTATGAATCCAATAAGAACACAAAATAAGAACAGGAAATCAACAATTTAAAAATAAAAAACTTAACAATAAGTATGGAATTAAATTGTAGCAATTAGACTCACCTTGAGTTCAGGAAGGCAGTCCCTTATATGGTGCATGAGAAGTCTGTTTAAGGTCTTTGCTAAGTACGGGGTACCGTTCCGCGTCGCTATGGTGGGGTACTTCCGCTGTAGGTACGTCGCTTCATCCTTTAATGCGTCCTATAAAAAAAACCGAATTCCAAATATTTAATTTGGCTATGGTTTGCAGAATCATTTCTATCAATTGCTAACTTTATATCCACCATCTTCAGAAATTAAAAAAAAAAAAACTGTTTTTAGTGAGTAACATAGGTTATATTCCTTTATTACTTTTTAAATTTTACGCTAGTGAAGTCGCGAGCAACAGCCAGTTAGTTATACTAACCAATTATTAGCAACTTGGTATAAAATATATTATGATGATAATCTATATTAACTCAGTTTATTTGCAAGATATGAAACTCACATAAATCATGTTTTAAAACGAAGAGAAAGGTTTAACCAATGGTTAGTTTATCCACAACAAAGGAATGAAAAATCATCGAGCGTTCCGACATTGATTATGACATGACTTATGCCATAAACAGCTTATTCAGAAATTAATATTTTAGAAGTATAGTCTATAGATTAGAGCTACACTATTAAACAAGTAGGTTAAAGATCTAGTGAAACTACAGCCGCAATTACAAGATTTGATATTGCTTGTAGCTGTGGTGAAAGTAATTAAAAAAATAGCGCTACCAGTACCAAGGTTGAGCGAACAGCGAATAGAAACGCAACGTACAATTGTACAATTAAAATGTCTTCATAAGTGTATAAGATAAACTACAACATAACGGCCTTGTATTTGAGACAAGTGAAACAATATTTCAAAAGAGTTGAGCTATAGAAAATATGGCTTTAAGATTGCCAGGTGACATCTAATTGGACAGAGTGAACTTAAAATATTAGATGTACATTTACAATGTACAAAATAAAGTCAATAATAAATGTAAACTAGCTATTCCCGTGCGACTTCATCCGCATAAAATTATGAAAAATTTATTGTCATGTGTCAAATTATCAAATGCAAGTGTCAAAATGACATGACATGATAAATCTTGGCAATCTTACTTTCTTGATGAACTTATCGTCTCTTTCCCACATTAGGGTTTCTATTCAAAATATTTACCCCCTAATTTTAATGGCGTGAAAATATATAGCCTAAAGCGTGACGTAAATGTAGGGCTTTTTATTAAAATAAGAATTATTCTAAAATATGCTGTGATTATTGAGATCCTACGCCACAAAGAAGTGTGTGTTTATGCTTTATCATATTAGTATAGAAGTATAGATACAGATATAACAGAGATCGTCGTATACGTTAAAAGTATAGTAATCATTTACACCAAGAAGTATAAAAATATTAATGATTTTAGGAAAAAATGTTAGAATATGTAAATTTCATTGGCCCATACCAAAATCGTCTTGTTATCTATGATGTCTTGCTGGGAGCGGTTGACGACGCCGATGATGCCCAGCTTGACGGGGATCACACGCCCGCACAAAATATCAATCGCGTCAGTCCCTGCAAATACATTTTATGTTATTTTATAGCTATTATGATTACTCAGTACATATCTCAGCACACAATTGCGCTCGTAATACAATAATTAAGGAAACCGGTTACACGGAGTCAATTATTAACAATACTAAGTTTCACCTGCGTTGTTGTTCCAGGCTATCGTCTCCATCTAAACTTTCACATTTATAATATTAGTAAGAAGTAAGACTAGTAGAATTTGGAGATGAACATTTTTCGAACTAAATTAGTATTTGAAATTGGCAGACCATAGCCACCTGTTTCCGATAATCATGCTTCATTAAATACACATATGCGAACAGTTTTAATTTACGATATAAAAATTATCGTAAAAACAATTCCCACATATTAAGAAACAATGAGCCACGTGTCATACTAAGAACGTATCGTTTGGATACAATTGTCTACATAGCTCGCTATTGAATATGGAATAGGCATGCTATTATACTAACACAAACTGGGACTTTTACCGAAACGAAGTAAAAGCGGAAAGTCAATTTAACCCTTTACTAATTTCAATAGCATTGAGCTGTTTGAGACACCTTTTACTTTGTGGAAAACAATACTAAGGGCCTGTCTCACTGGCTGATAGAGGCTCAGATAGCTTACAAATGACGTCACTTTTAGATAAGGTAATAAATTCGATATTTTACACGTTGGATTATCAGACAATTTACAATTTGGTGACATAGGCCCTACAGATTGTAGCAGTAAAATTGTTTAAGTATAGTTTTAAGTAGTTATCCTAGTACGGGTTATTTTTCAAATATATTTTCTGCCTTTTATGCCAACAGACCTAGTAAATGTACGCTTTTTAAGTCGGCATCGAATTTTTATACGTCTGTGATGTCTACAAGTGAGTAAACATCATTGTCACACCAACAAAGACTCCATTGTGAACGTAATAGACGTAACATAATACCAATTGTAAATGATCACTTTAATAAAAAATCACGGCCACCATTCAACTGCATAATAACATTTCATTGAATTTTACAGTAGAATAAACTTCCTACGTACGAAAATCATGAGAACATCTTCCTCCCTTTGAGAAATAAAAAAAATATTATACTAACCACGCGTACCTCGTTGGAAAAAACCTCGGAAGGTAACCTGGATTTCTGAGAACAAAAACGACGACGGTTTTTGAGGTCAAGGGACCCAAGATCTATACGAAACCTACAAATTTACCTTAGTAAATACGAGCAAGTTGTGAAGTTCCATTGGTGTAGTCCTAATTGCTAATAAACTTTGACTTAAATAGTAATAAAAATCGTGTTAAAACTACTTATACTATCTTAACATAGTCGTAATATAAAGCTAGTCACCACTGAGAGAAAAATTAATAAAACAGTGTTTTCTGTTTACCTGCATCCATGAGATCTAATTTTGTAACAACAGCCAATGTCCTCCTTCCATCAGGATCAACCTCCTTTGCCATCTTTATCGCTTCACTGGTCGCCATATCTGTGTTAGCGGCCGTCACCGCAAGGATTATAGAATTTGGATTTGCTATGTGTTTAATTATTAAGTTTCTTATTTGATTTTCAATATCCTCAGGTTGATCACCTATTGGAACCTACGGTACACATTTACACATATTACAATTTCGACAAAAAAAAAAACAGTGGACGTCAGTAGAAATTACTAAAGTAAGAACGTATCTGGGTTCATATTCCGCAACATGATGTAAAGTCAAGCTATTAAATTGATTAATCTTTTGTGAGACATTATCGGCTCAACTAACGTTTTATCATCCGGTGACGGCACCGACTGGACCGTCTCCGGGTGATAAAACGTGAGTTGAGCCGTCTTTAATTCGCGTATGTATAGTGAAGCATTAAATTTCTTATGATTACGCATTGTAATACAGATCCATTGGTATTGGTTCAAGTCACATCACTAGCTTTTACCCGCGACTCCTGCCGCGTGTTATTAAAAAACTAATGTGTAGCCTATATATTTAACAGTGGTAGAGCCTGCTTTAATATCTTTGACCGAATGGGTCGGCTCGCCATACACAGACACACAGACGTGGGGGCAATTCCACGTTTCGTCTGGTGTTTGTGGTGCCGGTGGCCTTTTTCCCACCCTTTATTAATAGAAAGATGGGAAGGGAACGTAAACTTGACGCCGCAGGAGATGCATAGAAAGGGGAAATATCCTCTTTATGTGTGTTGCCAACGTCGATTAAAGGAAGGCAACGCATCCGATATGGAAAATGTCTATGCGACAGCGGTTACTTCGCCATTTTTGGCGGATTCTGGAGGCGGTCTGCTCTTTTACCACTTTATGGTAAAAAAATTGCTATATTAGACTATGTTCTCCATCAGTTCTAAATTTCATTTAGATTCGTTAAGCCATTTTAGAACTACGAAATAACAAACACTTGTATTTAAGAAATGATAGGAATAAAATTATGAACTTGACATTTTTCTTAAAATAAAATAAGGTGGCAAACAGAGTATTTTCGAAACAGATCATGCTTGTCTTTGGTTAAAAATGTAGATTAACAAATAGCGACAAATAGGTCAAGGCATTGCTGTGGTATACAGGTAGTGCTATTTTACTTACCTTTGTAATACCAGGGAGATCAACAAGTGTAAGATTGACAACTTTGGTTGAATATATTTTGAGATTGATTGGCTCTGGACAGATGCCTTTGTTGCTCCCCGCCATGCGATCTGTCTCGCGCTCGATTTCCAGACGAATCTGATCGAAGTCGCCGTATATCTTGTCTTTTGTATGCAGAAATTTGCCCCATTCTTCTAAATTCACTGTGCCTTAAAAAAATCAATATCAAATTATCATGTGTACAATTTCCTATTATCCTATTAAATTTCCTATTATCTTTACTAGATAGTGAATTTAATGAGATTTTGTTGTTATTGTTTTATTTATTAATTATTATGTTAAACTATTATGTTTGTAATCCTTACATTTCCTCAACACAGAACAACATAAATAAAACTATATTAAACAGAAATAAAGAAACATAACATGGGAATACATCAGAAATCATACTAATAATATAAAATGTGAATGTTTAGATAGATGCATATTTGGAACAATATATCTGAAGATTGGTTCAACAGATCTCAATGAAATTTGGCATAGATGTAGAATTTAGTCTGTAAGAAGTCCATGAAGAGTCATAGTCAAAGATAGTATTGGTGTATTCTAAAGATATGCATATTTTTGAACTTGTAAATGTTTGAATAGTAAGTTAATTTACTTATATATACTAATATAATAAATTGTAAACACATGCTTTTTAGTTATGTAGGACATCAGCAATTCAATTATAAAATGAAAAAGTATGACATTACTCTCATACTAAAGTTAAATTTTAAACAGTTATGGTTTATGAACAGGTTAATAATGAGCAACATTTTTGTTTCCAACTGAATATTTATTAGTGTCGGTACCAACCTTTAGCACTAACTAAATTGGATAAGTTGGTTAATGAATTCCATATATTATTTGATCCTGTATCCCTGTTTCTGTACACTGAAGGTAATAAATAACACTACTTAAATACATTATATAGATAAAAATATTCCAAAACAAATTCTATTAATAATTTTATATATTTTATGTATGTATAATGTTATGCATAAACTAATGGACTTTATGGGGATATAATATTGTTAAAGAAATATATGTAATAATGCTAAGTAAGTTTTAATTAGTACAAAATATATTATTCCTACCAACTCTTCACAATGTGTAGAATGTAATGAAATCATGTTTTATATGACTATCATGTTTTATAACAATTATTACATTACATACAGAATTTAATACCTAATCAACCTGATAATCACAACTTTTTTATCTTTAAAAAAAAGCAATCATTTTGCTTCTGGATAATTTTTATCTCAATAATATGTTACATATATTTACTTATTTTTCATACTAGCAATTCTTGTTTACAAGGGTTATTGTTCTAGACACAAGAGTAATAAACACATTAATTGCAGAAACACAGCAATTAAAATTGCATTCAATTGATAATGATGATTTGTGAGAAGTGAATGCAAAAAGTGTAAACATTTTATTTATTTGCACTTGGAGTTTGACTCATTAGCCAAAAACATGACATAGATGTGCATAGATGGAAATTAGTAAATGTTTGGCATATCAAGCTGTAAGCTGTCCCAAAATAGATAGTGAATTTAGTATTTATTGCACCAGATTATACCAAATATTATCAGATGAACTAATACTCTTTATTTTCAAGTGTGATATGAGAAACACTTGTCATATAATGTATTTAAAAAGATGAGAAATTGATATAAATTGCTGTGATTTCTTATTGTAGTGTTTTTATGTAATAAATGACATAGATAAAATTTAAACTGAAACTACTATTTGCATACTTTTCTGTAATTACATTTAAGTAGGAATTTAATATAAATGTAATACTTTTGATTTTAAAAACATTTACAATTAAATTAAAAAGTCTATACCTTCCTCAGCTGAACGATGCTCCTTGCTGTCTTTCGGGCTGTATACTAATTGAAGAATCAGTGGACGTCGGGTGACGATACCTGGACCGCGAGGTAAAAAGGAACGTCCAACCAAACTCTCTATAACAGAGCTTTTGCCGGAACTCTAAAAACAACAAATACATGGTCAGACTTTTATGTCTAGATTGACAGTTATGTACCATACGATTTTCACACGTTTAAAAATAAAAAATTATTCAATTTTCAGCAAAAATTTACAGTAAGTCTTATTCACCAAAAGGGATAGACAATGACTATTAAAATATTTCTCTGAAATGGGGACAAAGAACTTCAGTGACATCTTTACATAACCGTTTAATTTTTCAGAATACAGATCGTTAACTTAAATATATATATTCAGTACTACAGTACGAACATTCCAAATTTTTTGATGTAATAATAAAAATTTATACCTGCGTTCCTAAAACTACTATTTGAGGTAACTGAATGGCATCAGCACCAACAGTATTGAACACATCTTGTAATTTGTTTATAACGGGTATAAGAGCTTCCATATTTTATAAAGTATATCACCAACACTGTTAAACAGCCACGAGAATAAACGATAATTCTATAACTATTACAAATTATAATTCAATTAAAATTAACCATCAAAACACACAAACCGACCGGTTCCAGTTCCAGTCGGCCATATTGATTTCCCCGCGAATGTGCGCAAAATGATTGCCAGTTGCCTTCAAAAAGTTACCACAAATAAGTAAAGTTAACCTAAAACCAGAAAAAAGTTACATGCTTGCACACAGCATGAAAACTAAAGCAGTAAAAAATAGTTTTAACATCATAAAAGATGATTTTTGAAGAGAAGAAAATAAAGGATGGTGAAGCCCCGTTTAAAAAAAATAACATTCATCTTTTCATATGATGCTGAGCAAAGGCCTCAGTGTGTCATATACCTTCTGAACTGACCATTTTCCAGTAGTTTACGGTAACTAATTTTATAGTTGGCAATTTTTTTGTCACTGTCAAATTGTCATTGTCAAAATCAAAAATATTTTTATATTTCTGTGCTTGTCCAGTAATAAAATAAATTGAAATTGATAATTGATGTTGTATTAGCCAGATTTTGATTATCAATTTCTTTATTTTCAGATCTCTGTACAGCTTATAAGTATATTGCCGTTCTTATTTAATTCACAAAACTGAGATATTTCTTAAAATATAAAAATGATGTTCATTGCGGAGGTAATGGCTTTGTAACACAGCGATAGGATTATAAACATTTGATGCGATACTCACTGTAACATTTTTGTTTAGGAAAACAAGCTTGATTCTGGGAAATACACTACAAATTCTCAATCCATACAGTTTGGACCTTGGTATATCTCGTACGATGTTAGTTGTATATTACCCAGCGTCTGTTCAACAAAAGTTGTTTGTGAACGAGACGATGATCAATTTTGTCAGTTTTGTATGTAAGTATTTAAAAATGTTAGATTACATAAAGCTTACATTTCTAAACTCATAAAAATTCTTACTTTTATCATTGTTGTAGATACTGCAAGGAGTTGAATATTCCACATTTTCCTGATATGGTGTTTCCGAAAAACATTCTCACTCTATCGCACGCAAGCGGTGCTTGTATAAACTTCAATCCCCTGGATGCTTTAAAGCGGGTTTCAAGTAGAGTTGAGGCAATTGAAGTTGCATGCGCTGAAGCATGGTTGGAATCAAGGTTAGACTTTTAGGATAAAATTAATAATAACAAATTTTTGTCTATTTTAAAACCTAATGTAATAAATGACAGATACTAAACAAGTTATATAAATGTAAAATCAGGTGATTTTTAGACGGCAGACTTGAACCCCTTAGTAAAGACGTTTATAAGGTATATAAAAATAAGGTTCCAAATCCATCATCATCATCTTCATTCCCGGCTCACTATACATTCCTACGGTGAGGTTTGGTACATGTAAATGCATGCCAATAAATGAGTGTTATTTTTTCCCATTACAATTGAAATTATTGAAGCAGGCTTTACAATTGGCATATATCTTTGTTCCTCAGACCTGATGCTGAAAAGAAGAAACAAAATTTTGATTGGACATTTTCAACAGATTACAAAGGCACATTAGGTGATAAAGTTGTTGTGGAGCTGACAGATGAGACTATAAACTTTGAACTGTTAAAACAAAAAGATCAAATACTCTTCTATCATGATTTGACTTTATTTGAAGATGAATTGCATGATCATGGCATCTCTAAACTTTCAGTAAAAATTGTAAGGAATAGTAATTTTTTACAAATTGCTTATAAAAAATATTTGTCTAAAATAGTTACTGTAGTAGAACCTTGATAAGTTAAAGTCCAAAAGTTATAAAAGTTTTAAGTTATCAAGGGTCTATGTTATAGAGGTTTTGGGCTCAGATGGGAAGGAACATATTGTTTGTTTTTTTTTAATATATAATTTGGAAACATGAGAGTAAAGTATAAAATAAATAGGAACCAAATAAATTTACTATTTTATAGTAGTACTTCTGGTCATGTATCAAGAACTTTTACTTTCTCATTTCAGAGAGTGATGCCGACTTATTGGTATGTCTTACTGCGGTACTTTTTACGTGTGGATGATGTTCTAGTTCGTTCCCATGAGACTAGAATGTTCCACATGTTGAACTCAAATTATATCCTTCGAGAGTTTACTGCCAAAGAATCAACAGCAAGCGACTTAAATGTAAGATTCATTTTTACAAGGAACTGGCGATTAAAACTTATTTAAGTTAAATTAAAAAAAAAATATTTTCAGATACCAACAACACAAATGAAAGAAGCAGATGATGTTATACCATTTCTTCCCTTGAAGCACAAAGTAACCGAAAAATTAACAGTGGAATTTGAATCATAAACAAAGATCTCAAAAATGTGATTTAGGATAAGCAAACAATAAGTATAAATACATGTTTCTTAATGTAAACAATATTCTTTCACTACCTACCCTACTTACATTTTAGCTGTATGACCATAATTTGAGACCTGGGTTGTTGATGTTATTTTTATTTTTAAAGTATTGTGGGCAAGATAATATGCTTAGTTCGTTACGAAGTATAATTAATTAATGATACTGTCGTTTTTCCAAATAAATATATCTGTGCTGATGTTCAAGGCCAGTGTGGGAGTCTGGAATGAAGTCGCGAAATGCGTTTTATGTTTTACTCGAAGATTTAGTTAGTCTGGAGAAAGTGAACAGGGAAGAGAAGTGCAAGGAGCTATTTTAAAAATGTGTTCTTCCAGACTATCCTTGACATTTATGTCAAAATTCATTGAAATTCGTTCAGCCGTTTAGGCTACAAACTCTATCAAACATCCATCCATCCAAATTTATATATGTAAGTAAGATGGTACTTTATCGACCAATGGGCCATAACAGATTTCTATATCTTTAAGAGATCATGTCTAATTACAGGTCATTGGTTTAATGAAACAAGTATGACATCATTGTAAACTTATTATTTATCTGTTCGCTGTCTATCACGCGCAACTCACGAAATCTTCGATTATCAATAAGTCTGTCTAGCATTATTTAAATGATAATTAATATCGAAAACGATAAGTGATTGCTACAATCAAATGAATTTTGCTAAAGTATTTGAAATTTTTGTAATGCATGGTTCGCGTGTTGTTCAAATTTGCACCCCGTATTTTAGAGCTTCACAGGATGAGTTTATAAATAGCCCGAAGAACCATGTTAGTTAAAAATGAGTTTATATTCATTTTCAAGTAATGTCTCTTTTCACGTAGTAACAGAGTCGTGTGCAAAATTTCAATATAATTCAGCATGAAATTCATAAATGCATTAAATTATAATTTCATGCTAAATAAAACATGTGTAATTCAAAAAACGTCTGTACATGACAGCCATGTATTACATTGATCGAATCTAGGACCAGTCCATTTTACAAGTTCAACGCTTAACCACTGAGTCAACGCTCATTTGATCTGGAACAACTGAATTTTTTTACGTTACTAGCTTTCGCCCGCAACTCCGTCCGCGTGGAATTAAAAAAACAAAAAGTGATTATGTGTGAGTGAGTGAACCTATGTGTTTTTTCAGACTATCCTCTACGTCTGTACCAAATTTCATCGAGATCTGTTTAGCCGTTTAGACTACAAACTCTAACAAACATCCATCTATCCATACATCTAAACTTTCGTATTTGTAATATTAGTAAGAAGTAAGATTACATTGAAATCTCTTCAGTTTTGTTAATTAGTCCTTAGTTATCACTGAGTGTTACAATGGCTATATTTTGGAGATTTGACTGATAATCATTAATATATATCTTAATAGCTGTAATAATCAGTGATTATTATAGCTGAACTGTGATTAAAATTTCACTCAATCGAATAATTAACGGTGCATTCAGTTTGTGTTTGTTATTGTGAAAAGTTATGTGATTTTTGTAAGAAATAATGATGCGATCACCATTCAGATTTGTAGTAACAATATGTTTCGGTAAGATTTTTTAAATTTTGTATAAGTATTTCATCTTACTTTGCAGAGATAATATAATAAAAGATAATTTTTAAAATCTTATATAGCAACATTAATTATTTTCAATAAATAAATGAATAATTCGTTTTAATGTTTCTTTTTCTTAATATTTTAACACTATTTTTTGTTAACATATTTATAGTATCAATATATCTAGTACAAAACGGTTCGTCTCAAAATGTAGTTGATGTTAAAGTACAAAATCTTTTTAAAATGCAACATGGCTTGGGATGGCCACATACACTTCGTGTGGCTCAAGGGAACGAGGCACTACTTAAACTTGATAGAATATTGGAAAACCAAAATTCTTGTGATATTACAACACCATCAGGACTAAGTTTTAATGTCAACACTCCGCCGAATAGTAGGTAGGTTAATAATTACAATATGTGGGTTTAAAAATACTATATTATCTGTTGCTTTTATAAGTTACAAATAGATTTATACAATAGAATATTCTCTGTGTTTAATACTTTTTATTAAAAAAAATAATACAGGTACTCAAAATGGACCGATGGATGCGGGGTGAGAGTACGAAATGTCTCAATGAATGATGAAGGGAGATGGCGATTAACCGCCAATGGTTCAAACAAACTTACAGGATGGACGGAATTATTTGTTGAAGGTACAAATTGAATGTATTTTAACAAGTATGCTTAGTAACGATGGCTATTTTATTATGTGTAATGTAACAATAAATTTTTTAAAAATAACTTCAGAGGGCCCGGAGTTAAAATAATAAATGGCTCTTGTAACATCGAAAATATCGCATTATTGCAAATACGATACATTTATTTATATGGTAAATGTAAAATAATTTATCTAATGATCGTAATATGGTTATCACAATGATATATACAACAAACATGGCTTACGGTAGATATGTGACTCATATACTTAACAACATTGTTGCAACGAGATTTTAATCATGATTAAGCGAAAGTAAGTAACGCTAATTATCATAATTTATCAAAATTACTTCAGATACTCATCTCTACGATTATGATGACATTTTGTCCGGGTCGTGTACATAGATATTTCGAACCCTTAGGTATTGTTAATATTTAAAATACTATTTATATTTAATATAATAGTTTAAATTGTAAATATTTTTTTTCCATCTTAGAACTACTATTATACTTACGGCAATGTTAATGGAAATAGTACAACAGTAGCAAAAGTCGCAGGCGCGGCCTTAGCTGAACATCTAGTCGCGCCCGAAAAGAAATCTTGCGACGATAGAACAGGACAAGGAACGAACATTTGTCCGCATCTAATATGTTTTAAGTAACTGTTATTATAAACCGGCATATTATCTCCAAGATCCTAACATACCAACGTTTCTTGCGTGGTTAACAACAACGTTTAAATCTTTTTTTTTATATAACCCTGACGCTAACCTCTAATTATTATTGTAATCTGTTATAAACGTAGATATAATAGATGCCTTTGTACGATTAAAAGCAACGATCGTATGCAGGGTCAATATCATTGTTGCGATTTGAGGACAATTTAAATGTTTCGATGATGCGATTCTAAAATCATGTAACACTTTATATATTTAACTGTATCTTTTGACTAAGCTATTGTTTTTAGAATCTAAGACATCGTATACCGCATCTCCGATATCCCTTCAGGACGGCCAAACGGAGGCGAGGATCGAATTGACCACTTTAGAGAATTCGTATTGTCTGGTAAAGAAACCTTTCGCGGAGAGTTCATTGGTACCTGGACACTGTAGTGTGACGCTTGATCGAACGACCAGAGCGATACAAGGCGTGTGGAACGTACAGTTGGGTCTGCCCGGTCAAATCGCTGAGTTGGAACTACAACGACAAATTACAGTTGAAAGTAAGAACTGCTGGAATATTATTGTAGTATAAAAAACTGAGGCTGTGAGCCTTTTTTTTATGTTTACCTTTCTTTCTGTTATATATTTCCTATGAACATTGTTAGAAAATTCATCCTTGCACTTCTTACTTACCGGCTTCTAATCAATTGTTAATTTTCAGCTGAACGCCTGGACGTTGGTTACGTAACAGACAAGAATGAAGATAAGATGCATTTATATTGTAATATTCTCCACACATCCAAGAACATCACGTTTTGTCGGTTCCAGAAATCATCGCAAAGTATTGGTTACAATGTTGTGGATGGTCTCAGTGATGGGCGGCACAGGTATACTTCATAAATTATATGACCATCATAAGTATGACATACATATAAGTATAACGTAGAAATATTTTGCGCAAGATATGTTGCATTGATTATTAGGTAGTGGCCAGGGAAAACTCATCTCTTGGTCATATCAAAAATGTACAATTGTTTATTAATCTCTACATGTTTCAGCTATTACGGAGAAGGTTTTTCAAAGAAGCAATGTGGAATAACAATTGAAAAACCAACAGCTGTAGACTATGGCACCTGGCGGTGCTCTGTCGGTGTTCAGATGTGGGTGGGAACGACAATTAGATCCCAACCTCCGATGCAGGCTCTTATAAGTGTTGCACCTAACACGAGAAGTTGGTATTTTATAATTAACTTATATTAAATGTGATGATTAAAGTTAATATGAATGAAATTATACAGGTTCCAGAATTACTCGCGAGTTACAGAACTCGGAGTTAGAGGACATAAGGACTATATTTGTTCAAGAGAATATGACTTTTACCATCATGTGCCGAGCCAACGTGTCCCTCTCCTACTGTTGGTTCCAGCATCCGAATGGAACTCAGTACACTCCGGGTAGACTGGAATCTAATGACCAATTGTTCTGGTAAGATTATTTTCCCAAATAAGAATTTTTTTCCCCCAATTGCTTGTAATCTTCACAGCCCGAACAGAAATACTGCAACAATTGTTACTTTTAAATGTTAATTCATATAATATTTACCAAAGGTATACGGGAGAAAATCTCCAAGTTGGAGATTGCGGGATTAGTTTCTCGCATGTCACCTCTGACGATGCGGGGAAATGGACTTGTCACATGGGTCCTAGAGAACAATTGGGCGTAGAAATAATAGACAGCGTTCTTTTAAGAGTGACCGGGCCTCTGGCCGCTAATAAGAAAGAAGTTGGATCACATATTGGCGGTTCAGTAACTTTGTTCTGCCACACAGCTAATGGAAACAGACCTTTAGATTATTGTAGATTCCTATCACCAAACTTTGTCGGGATACGGCTTGACCAGACGGTGACTGAAAGTAGGTAAGTTGTTTATTAAATAAAAGATTGAATTTTTATCTGAATAAAAATAAAATATTGAAGAATAAGAAAATTTACACTATAGTTATCAATATACCCGGTAGTTAGATTAAATTAACTCAATCATTATTACCACTTTTTTTGTTACTAATGAATTGCACGAGTAATAAGAATTATGATGCAATTAAATACTATTACACCTTTGATAAAATTATATCGATTAAATATAATTGTATAGATGTTTGTGTACGTCTTTATAATACATTTCTAAAATTATTTAGAAACTAGCATTCGCCCGCGACTTTGTCCGCTGGAAATAAAAATATAAAAATGAGTAGCCTATGTGTTCTTCCAGATTATCCTCTACATCTATTCCAAATTTCATCGAAATCCGTTCAGTCTTTTAGACTACAAACTCTAACAAACATCCATTCATCCATCTAAACTTTCGCATTTATAATATCAGTATTAATACAGTTAAATTATTTTTCAGTGCAATATTTAATCGCTACTATTTCACACCGAATCGTAGTCTTAACTACGGAGACTGCTCGTTGACTATAAATCCTGTCCACGAGGATGACTTCGGAGAATGGACTTGTGCCGCTTTGATAAGCGAAGAAATCTTAGAAGCTCGGGATCTTATCACTGTATATGCTAGTGGTAAGTACATAGAGCCAAGAGTATAATTGTGAATCCAATAATCAATGCAAAAGGCAGCGTTACATTAGTCCTTAAGGTAGTAAAAGAAATGGATTGTTTAAATGTTGACTTGAGTGAGGACTGGAATGATGGGAGAAATGATAGGTTGGCTTATGCTTTCTGTATGATAGTGAGCAAAGTAATACAGTAGTCTAAATTAAAGGGCGGGCTAAATAAATGGAGTAAAGTAACGAGTCAAAGAGATTTTTCTGTGATTACAATGTCATAGTCAAAGGGAACGGGTTTGAAATATCTTCTGCCAGTTTTTATATTTCGTTTGCTTTCTATCTCGCCTCGTCTCGTCTTGAGTTTTTTTTTTGGCACATTGTTATATCTTTATTAGGAAAATGTGTAACGTATATTAGCGATACAATAATTTTATCTTCTTTAATCTCCGGTTGCGAAATTCCTTCATCTAGAATTAATAATGATTAGTTTACAATTGATTATCGTGCAATTATAATATTTTTTATTTGATTGCTAATTACTGTTGATGTAATAGTTGGTTGATGCGAACGATTTCAACATTATAAAACTCTAAACAGCATGATCTTAACGCTCAACAAAAGAAATTCTCGAAGTTATTTAAAAAATAATTGTAATTACTCCTGTTAGTTTGAAATTATGATCTAATTTTTTTTTAAAGTTCATGATAAACAAAGGTGGAACATTTTTTTGCATACTATTTGTTTTAGTTAGTGTTATTGTTTTAGTGGTATCGGCGCCGCGGTTCACAGCTGGTATAATTGGCATGTCAGTAGGCGTTGTTGGCCTATTGGTGGTTCTCGCCGGAGTGTTGTGGTACAGACGATATCGACCGAAGTTCCCATGGAGGAGGGCACCCGCCCCAAGCTCAGTAGACAACTTCTCAATGAACACACGCACATCGAACGCAGGTTCAGTTGAAAGTGATAAAAGCAATTAGGTGAAAGTTTGATGTTTGTTCGGCCTTTTGTAATCTGGGTGTTGGACAATTGTTATTTAAGTATGGCGAAATAAAAATTCTATAAATCCTATTGTATAAAGCAGAACTATTCTTGAAGATCTCATTCAAGGCAATTTATATACTCTTTCTCTCAAGGCCTTTATTTAAATTTAATTCCTCAGGTGTAGATAGTAGATAAGCTAATATTTACTTATAAAATTCACATAGACTTTGTATTTGCTGTAAGTAAATTCTTCTTCCCTTACATCAAAGGTTATATCATATTGTTTTCTCTATAACCGGTATAGTAACGCTTGGTTAATATTGGGTATACATAAGAACTTCATTGTCATCGTATTATAAAAAGATTGCCAAGGTCTCTTTGCAAAATGACTTATTATTTTTCAATATTAGAAGACGATACTGGGACAACCTTCACCTAGTTAGTTGCTTCATGACAATATAATGCTATCCAAGATTGAGCAATTTAATGTACCATGCAGTATCGTATTTATATTATTAACGAAAGAACGCAAATGGACATGAATACATCAACAACCATTTTCCGGAAATTTTGATTAGAGGATTGTAGACAGGATAAATATAGGAACATGAAAAGAAACAAAATTTCTTAACACTACTCGTTTTCTATAATTTGAAGTACAAAGGTCACTGCCGTAATCTTCTTTATGTAATGCAACTATATTTTAAATAGACTTTTACAATCCATTGTTAATGTACAGGGGAAGATAGTCTATTTAGTAGTCATCAATATCTACCACATATATAAATTTACATGCAATTATAACAAAAGGTAATATAAACAAAAAGGTCACATGTTGGAAATGAAAGAAATCTTTTTATTGTACTTAATTACTTTATTGGAAATTATTATTCGATAGTTAAATTTTTATCTAATAGTTAACATTTTATCTTACACTTATACAAGCTTCCGATCAACCAAGAGATATTCGAATCAGTCAACCGAGTTTAATTTTTTAGTTAAATATCACTTGTTTTGTCTATCCGGTTACGCTTGTACGAAAAATAATAGTGCGGATAGATATTATAAACTATTTCACCGTAATTTATTAAAAGTTAGGAATCTTTGTATCCTTCCAACATTTGAGCGATGGGAATTTTAGAGAAGAATTTGTTGATTGCTTTAATAACGGTGCGGACAATTTGCTTGATTGCGGGTGGTGCGAGATCGTCCATCAGCTGTCTCCAGTTGTCGTTGGCGAAGGCAAGAGTTGTTTCAGCTGGAAAAATATAACATAGTCATATGTATAAATCGGCAATCTGTCAGGAAAGTAGAATTACTATTTTGTTATTATTATTGTTGAAGTGAAATTCCAAATGCAAATAGTCACAGGATTCTAGCATCGAAACTCCTTACGGTGGATTATTCAAAGGAGCAGCGAAGAATACGATCGTTTTTGAATACAGTAGTAAAACTTTTTTTGTTTTATATTTGTTTAATAATTGTTCCCGAACTTGTGCGCTTGGTATTAAAAAATAGAAAAAAATAGCCTATGTTACTCAGAGATAACATTTTTAATGGTGAAAGAATTGAAATCGCCTCAGTAGTCTTCGAATTATTTTAATATATGAAAAATACAAATCTATTCTCTTTATTGTATAGATTGACATTTTGTCTTCGTTTTCTCTGCTTAAATATTTGTTGTGTCTTACCTAACTGCTTGTTTCCATTGAATAAGTTCTTCAAGTCGAATGTTGTGCTTTGTATGTCGTATTTGTAATTCGGAGATATAAGTTTTAAATGGCTGCGTCCTTTGCTGTCCTTCACATGAACCAGTTTGCTCTGGATATTTACTTCCACATTATCTGTAAAAAAAAACGCGCTATTTTAATCAATTGATTTTATATAATACCAGATCAGTATGTATGTATAGTTAATATTTTTTTTGGAATTTTCTGTTTCCTTGTTATACAACTTGTGGCACGTGTAAAGCTATATCTAGGGGTCAAGGCCCTGATATAAATTCCTTGATTTAATTAATCTTTAGTTAATAACGACTTTTTAAATCAAATAACGTTATAGATAAAATGAATTAAGGTACTTTCATTTTTAAATTTGGTGCACAAACTTCAATTAATTTTTAGCAAAGCACATTAAGTAACACAATTTTATACACCTCTTAATTGCCTCATTTATGGCGGTTTCCCTGTTACGTTTAACCATGAAACCAAAAAAACCAATAAACCAAAAAAATGAAAACTTCAGATACCCAGCATTAAACCTTAATTAGTAATAAGTTCACGTTTCACTTTAATAAATTATCAAATCGTATTACGTTTAAATTAACTTACTTGCTTTTACCAACGCGTCACCCTCTCCTTTGATGGGCAGGATCAGGATCTTGCCGTCTATACTATATTTAGCTGTCAAACTCATGTTACCCTTGAAGCCTAAGTTAAAATCTTCTTCGTTGCTGCCAATATCGACTCTGTAAACAAAAGTGTTTTATTGTATTCAAATGAATCATACTCTGAATCAGTGTTTTGCAGCATTATTTGCATACATTATTCTACCTGATATGTAATTGTCCCGATGAAATCATCTAGATTTTATAGTTTTCAAACCATTGGGAAATATCTTAATAACTTGTTAATATCTAAATGGGCGATGGCATTATTTTGATTTCAATGCAACTTACGTGAGTTCGTTGATTATATTCAAGTTCATACTCACTTAAGATCTGTCAGTTTGCTGTCACTAAGCCCGTGCATGGCCGCGTCAGCGAATTTTAACTTCAAACCATTGCCATCGATATTGATATCGTCCAGTTGAACAGGATCTATGGACGGCACGCCCAGCTCGGGAATGCCTTTCGTGAATCGAGACAGACTATTCTCTATTTGCTTTCTTATACAGCTTCCTAATTCCTTGTCTTTGAAGTCACATTTCTTTATGAAGGATGCTGAAAACAAATAAAAAGGTAAACAGTGAGTTAATCAATCATTTATGGATGTTTTATTTTTAATATGATACGAGTAGTAGCTTCTCTAGTGTAAGAGTAAAGTGTACCAATTTAATTACTTTTATGCTATTCAAGTTTCGCTAGAAAGGGACTGCATAGTTGCAATGGACGGAAATGACTACCGTGTTTGATAAACAATACGAATTATGTTTGGAATACGAATAAATCAGCGGAGTAGTAACGGAGCAAGTCAAAACAAATAAAAATTTACAGAATTAAACTTCTAACCGGACGAATTACTAGAGTAATTTAGACCTAAGTAATAACGAAAGTGCCACTCGAACTGGAAAGTACTTGATTTTCTTTCTGTTAAATTGAAACATACAATATAGGGTTCAAATTAATACATATATGGTAAATCTCCTTCTCCTACTCTATCACTGAATAAAAAAGCCTGCGATACATTAGTTTAAACTGGTTGTCTCTACTCGTAATATCGTCGTTAGCATATGCAACTGGCATAAGGTGGTCACGGAGGTTAAACACTTTTTTACAAAGCCTTTTTAAGCTATCTCTAAATAAAAAATATTAGAACGTTAATTTAATTATATTTACCAACCTAAAAAGATTAGATTGTTAATGTCTTTAAATGTCATCCAGTGGCAATTATGTTGAATAAAACATCTAAGAAAATCTATTTTTATATATATTTCAGCTTAAAAAATTAGAAACCAAAAAACATACCTTATAAATTGGAAATTTACTGTTCAACTTTATATTTGTATGTAATAATATATTTAAATTATACATTACATTAGCGTTATTGGATACCTAAATAAATTTAGATTACAAAAAGGAACAAAAGCTCGCCACCTTTGCTTTTTAGATGAGGAATAAGTTGATAATAATGATATGAACAAGTTTGGTAGAATTATTCTAAAACAGGGTTATCTGTAACGTATCTTTATTTGCAATATTCTAACAATGCTTTAAATAACAATTCAATGTGAAATATTTGACAAATAATGGTGGTATCCAGAGTTTAATTAAAATCTATATATCCATACATATAATACAACTGGAATGTCTGTTTGTAATATCGAAAGAAAAATTCCATATTTCAGGAAGAAGATGTATTTGCGTTGTAGAATCGCATTTAAATGTTTTTTTCTGTGTATGTCTGTCTGTCCGCAAGCCGCGATTGTTCCGGGTAATCTCCGAAGCGACAAGACCGATTTCGACCGGAGTTTCACTGAAGGGTAGCTGACATAGACTGGCATATTATAAGGCTACTTTTTATCTTAATATTACGTGGGCGAAGTCGCGGGCAACAGCTTTATATATGAGTGACATCTTTCATTAATTCGCAAGCCGTTCAGAATGCCCAGTACCAAGTACGGTACTGTAAAGTTACGAAAATCAATTTGTTAATGTTTCAATATGTATCTAAACAAATGTTTTTATTATACGTATCGAGAATTATGAAAGATAAAATTAATTTTGACCTTCGTGACCCAAAGAGCTCTTGACCGCAAATGAACTTGCAAATTTCTAAACACCCAAATGTTTACTTACGTGCAATATTTTACTGATAAATACGTTGACATGTCTTTTATACGGTGAGTGCAAATTATAAATTAGCGAATACCCTTTTCAAGTCTTTATGTTCACACACTGACGCATAACATTTAAGATGAATTTTTCCATACATATGTATTACACTTGGAGAAAACATTGTCACAACAATCAATCTTACTAATATTATAAATGTGATAGTTTGTACGGAAGGATGGATGTTTGTTAGAGTTTGTAGCCTAAAAGGCTGAACGGACCTGGATGAAATTTGACATAGATGTTGAGGATATTCTGGAAAAACACATAGGCTACTTTTTGTAATACCACGCGGACGGAGTCGCGGGCGGAAGATAGTGTGAGATAATTGGGAATTTGAAAGTGGAATAAGTATTTTTAGTGTCACGTTTTTAAGGACTAAGTGGGAATCAAAACTGAACTATACTCTTAAATTACTAGTACTCTCTACATATGCCTAATTCAAACTGAGTAATTCAGTCTAACTAACATTTTGAACATTTACAAAATATCATTTATCAAAAATCTGCTAACATTTTTATACAAAACAAAAACCTACAAACTAATATATAGGTAGATATAGTACAGTAACCGCAAGGAGGTTTTATTTACTTTTCCACAAGACCTATCCATCGTATGCAAATATCTACCTAGGCATGGACCTACAGTGTTTAGATGCGGAAAATAATAAAAAAAACAATATCATCAATTGGCAATAAACATCAATTAGAATTGATTGAACTTGTACAGTTTAATTGTATTACAGACAATAGTATGACATTGTAAAGTGGTATTGTTTTATGCAGGATGTCTTTAGGTGTGATTCACAAGATAATAAGGAAATACCAATAATTATAAAACCACATCTTGAATAAACTATAAAGATTTGTATATTTTATCACAGACGCCTGAACAAAACGATTTATGACTATATATTAACTAGCTTTCGCCCACGACTACGTCCGCGTGGTATAAAAAAAACTGAGTACCCTATGTGTTCTTCCAGACTATCCTCTACGTCTATGCCAAATTTCATCGAAATCCGTTTAGCCGTTTAGGCTAGAAACTCTAACAAACATCCATCCATCCATCTAAACATTCGCATTTATAATATTAGTATGAAGTATGATTAGTATGATTTAAGCTCGTAGCTCAAATTTTCTTGTTTTTCGCAAGTTATCACAATTGAAGATATTTTTATCAAAACACTTCAATTTAAAAATACGTTATGAAACAGTCCGAAGAGTTGAATTCACAGTCGACATTTAGGTCACTGTGACCTTGAGAGAATTTAAAAGTTATTTTTATTTTTTTTAACGCATAACAAATTGCAATTGTAATCGATGATTCCGTGCTGATATGTCCTACAGAATATTCAATAAGTAATTGTGTCAACATTGGCAGGTCGTAAAAATATATTGTATCTGATGGAAGTAATTATGCGAATGTGAAACTAATTAAGTCCGTATAAAGTGTAAAGGCTTTTAATTCAATTTCGTGAGTAAATATATATTTTTTTGTCAGATCACAATGCGGAATTTAAAATGTTCTTGAATTTTTAAATAAATAATTACTAATTATAATTAATTCGTATGTATCTTTTTTAATAATAAGCATAGGCGTTAACTGTTAAATCTTAAAATTAAACTGAATACAGCAAATCGAAAAAAAAAATCGAAATAGTAGGAAATCATAAAAATTGTATATTAAACTTCATTTAATAATACACTAAATTTAAAGTGAGGACATTTTTATCAGTAATAATAATAACAGAAAAATATTTTTTTTAAATTATTAACCTTTTTATGAAACACGAAAAAAAATCAATACTCACGTAACATATCTTCTTCAGCACTGATGTAACAAAACAGCATCACAAATAGCACAATCTTACTTTTTAATTGCATTTTTAATTTAAATATAATATATGTTCAGTAAAGCCAACAAGTTTGATGTTTGTCCACGACTCGACTCCTACTGTCGCCAGAAGGCTACATCCATCTTATTTATGTGCGTCTGATTTTATGCATACATTGTTAATACCTTGGAAATATAAAATAACACCTTAATTTTTTGCTGAATACGCATGTATAGTAATTATTTTGAAAATTTCCTTCAAATTAAACGGTTCCTAATGATTTCATGATATCTAATTTAAATAAAATAGATTTTAATTGTATAGTTTGTAAGAAATAATTTAATCTAAAGCTTAATTGTAATCGAACGTTTGGATAATATTTTTTTTTACCTCGAAGTCTACAAAACTCATATTTAGTACTTAATGATAGTACTAAAACACATAACCTCATATTCAAATATGTAACTTCCAGCAGTTCCCAGGGAGTGTGCTCTTAAAGATTATGTTCTACATCTGTGCTAATAAATAATCTCAGTGAGATTCGTTAAGTCGTTTAGAAGATACGAAGTTTTAAACATCCATCCAAACATTCGACTTTATAATATAAGTGAGATATTAACGCACGTATTGGCGAGTTTATTTTATAAATATGAATAGATACCCAAAAATCAACTAAGCGCGTACCTTCCTTCGACCACATCTTTATTTACGTTTAGGTGGGATCGTGGTCAAGCGCTGGTTTATACATAATTTAAATAAACTAAGCATTTAAAGAAATGAGGCAGTAATTGAAATGGTTTAACTCATTAGGGATATTAGCTGATTTATAAATGCAAGTATCACCAAACGTAGCAATAAATATTTTAGAAGTCATAATTTTATAATAAAACAAAAACAATGTAGGTATAAAAACTGCAAGTCGAGCTATCTGTGAAAAAAATATTCAAACATCAACGCGACTTTTTATATATTTTAAATAAAATTATCGATGACGAATCATTAGTTCTTTTTGTTGTGTCCCGCGCGACCTTAGAACGCCCTACCTTTCGTAATCAAAGCACGTAACTTGATAGAAATTATCTTTAACATTACATCGTCTTTGATTGTTTTTTTTCTCGGTGTATTATTTATTTTGAAACCATTCCCAAAAGTAACTTTAAAAATAATTCTCAGCGAATGCATAAAAACTTTATTACATATGCACATATAATAGTGTTAATAAACTAAAGGAGGTAATAATAGAACGGAGTATATACGAAAATATTAAATTATATACGCAAATAAACAAAAAAGTTACTCAAGGAATGTTCACGGAGCATGAACTGTTAATTTGGTATTAAAACGATTTAATATGCGAAGATTAATTTAACGTCTAGTCTGTACGGCAAAAGATGCAAGACAGAGATTATTAGTCACATGATTCAATAATAACGATTTGAAAGAGATAAAGAGGAAAGATTTGTATTTCTGTATGTATTGAAATAACTGAAAAACTAATAGGCCGATTACAAAATTATTTATTTATCAATTAGAAAGCTACGTTAACAGTGACTAGCATATGCTATATTTTTTTTAATTTAACCAGGGAGAAGTCGCGAGCAACAGCTAGTTGATAATATAAAATAATAATGTAAAGTTTAGATGAATTCATTGATGGACGTCTGTTAGAGTTTGTAGCCTAAACTGCTGAATCATTCTCGATGAAATTTGGCAGAAATGTAAAACATATTTCGAAAGTTCATATAGTCTGTTTAGATTTGTTTTTATTTTTAATTCCACATGGACAGTCGCAGTAAAACCCTTGTTTTATTTAACAAGCCCAAGTCTACTTCTCGCGGAAAACGGGAATAAATTACGAAATTATGCATGACTTGCAACGCATAAGTATAAAGGGATTGAAATTTCTTTAACTTAAATTATAAGAACAATGACATGATTTACAATGTCCTTACATGTTCTAACAAAGAAGCTTTTAAAATATGTCTTTAACAATTCTATATATATACTTCCGAGCTAGTGTTTTATAAGATTTATTGCCATTTAAAAAGGTTAAGCAAAAAAATATTTCAATGATTTGTATAAAAAATCCAAATAAACAGTTTTTTCTTATGTATTTCCCTTCGCGTGATGAAACCAGAGATGATCATAAAAGAGGCAATAATAAGGAAGAAACATAAATGTTGGATTGTCAACCCTGAGGAAATGAGGACAAAATATCTTGTTTCAATTAATCTCTGAGTTTCCGTTAACTTGGTCATCATACTTGACCGCAAAGCTACATTATTTATCTATTTTTGTTATACCTGCTTAAAATTAATAAATTGTAAAATTTATGTTTCTCACTCAAGCCGAGTAAAAAAGGTAATTTTAAATTATTTTCAAATAGTTGACTCGACAGTATTATAAACATTAAATAAATATCTAATGTTCTACTCAACTTCTTTAGTTTTGTTTCATAAGAATCTTCTTCTGACAATAATAAACAGGATAAAAAAGCTGTAAGCGAAATTGTTTCATTCGTTCAGCCACGACGCGAACAATAAACCCAGAGAGCTAAACAGAAAGAGGCGCAAAACAGCGCATTACATAAGTCTACAAATCTTACTCAAAAGATAGTAAAAAGCACCGTATAAATCTCGCCCAGAACGATAATAGTAGGTACTGGATATAGGTATTGTGGTCGTGAGTACTTTAAATCAGTGAGTTCGTCATTGAACCTGTTTTAAATGATTGCATAACTGCCTTTTGTTTTATTGTTCTGGTAGAAACAGAGCAGGAAATGTTAAATAAAACCTGTATAGAATAAAACTCCACTGTTCTCAAGTTCGAACTGCGGTAAATTTAATATTTACACAGAATCAATTGTAACAAGAAAATGTCCGATTCCTTGAAATTATTTATTGCCTGTACCTATACTGACTGGGGACGTTTCTGATTTTGTAATAAAATAATTAATTAAGCTATACAAAATGGATGGATAAGTTTGCGATACGATGGTCGATGGGAGTCCTTTTGTACATCCAAATATTTCAATGTCCTTGGATGTGGACGATAAAATAACCTTTTGCTCTTTTACGATTGATAGGTCAGGGTTCAGCACAAAACCTTAATATTCTCGAATCGAGTTATTGACATTTGCTACAGCTTCCACTTTATTTCTTTTTCCGTATTATGAGGCTTCGTGATCGACCGCAGATTTTTTTAAATGTAATTGTCTGCCTATTAAATACAAATTGTCGGTTTCTAAATTTTATTGTGTAGAATAAAGAGGTACTCAATTTATTTAAAATGTAAAATGTTCAATACTAACAAGAATTTTATAAGGAAGTGAATCGGTAACATTTTAAATATATTAAACAGACAAAAACTAATAATTAGTATTATTGTGTTATATTCTATGCGTAGATAAAATTTAAAAAATGCGTCTTGAATAATTATTTAATAAGTAAAATACAACAAGGCGTTCCATAATTATTGTCTTACGACGCGTATTCACGACTATGACTACTGTATTTTTGCAAACTGAATCTTTTTGCAAATAAACTTGACTTGTTTGGGATAGGTTATTAAATAACACATGACACCAAGCGACGATACGTTTGTTTCTTAGCAAAAACACGACAATGGATATTGCATTGTCATCAAGCAAACAATACTAGAATGGACATATCAGTGAGAATATTTTTTTCCTTCAAAGTACTTAAAGGAATCCTTTTTTATGTTTTCCTTGGTACTTCCAACCATCATCCACTTGCCCTTATCCCTTATGGAGGGTCGGCACAGTATGTGCTGCTCTTCCATACATCTCTATCAGCCGTCATATCTGAATCCACTCCTTTCTTAAGCATATCTTCTTTCACACAATCCATCCATACTTTCTTCGGTCTTCCTCTTCCTTTGTAGCCATCCACATTCAATCACACTTTCTGGTTTATGTCCCCATCATTTCGTCGCATAATATGTCCATACCACGCTAACCTTTTGCTTCTCAATTTCTCCTCCACTGGCGCTACTTTCAAACTTCCTCTAATGTACACATTCTTAACTTTATCCAATCTTGTCACACCACACATCCATCTTAACATACGCATCTCAGCCACATGCAATCTCCAACCATTGACGGCAAATAAAAATACATTAAAATTTTCGACTAATTTTCGTTGCTAATTCAAAATTGCTCTACAATTCTGAAGCTTATAAGTATTATGAATACAAGGAAATATTTAAATTGTGTATGATAATTTCTTATTATTAACAATTTTTTTTTAATAAAGCGCACCTTTTTGTGTCTGGATTTATTTTATACTAATTATTTTAAATAATTAATTATAGATAATGCACACTTCAAAGATATTTCTATGTGCGGTCACGGAAATACGCTGTGTCCTACTTACAGGAAGAGTCCCTGTTCCTTGCGTCGAGATTCCTTTAACTTCAAACCCGCCCGTTCTTAAATATTTATCGTCGCATAATTACAACAAGTTAATAATAAGAAAAAAACAATTAGTCGTGCACTTACCTGTAAAAAGTATGAATGGATTGTGTGAAAGAGGATATGCTTAAGATTCAGATTTGAGGGCGGGTGGAGATGTAAGGAAGAGCAGCATATATTGAGCAGACCCTCCGTACAGGATAAAGGCAAGTGGATGATGACTTACACTGTAGTTTTTTAGGTTGAATATCGCCAGATTCCTCGATTGTATATAAAGGAACATAGAAATAAAATATGAACATTAATTCAAGTTGTAAATAAGGGAAATGTGTTGCCTCGTGGGATACATTACAAAATGATTACATACGAAATACAGCACCATTTCATTGCTCGATGTTTCCTTCTCTGAAACATTAAAAAGCGAACGAATAATAAATATTTGAAGAGGCAGTACAAGCCAACGGTTTTACTCAATAAATGATTGGCAACACTGTTGACTAAGTGAATTCCAAAAAGTTTTTTTTTGACCAATGCCAGTGTCAAATGACAAGGGAAGACTTAACAAAAACATTTCTCATCGTATTGTCTTTTCGAAGCCAGCTACACACCTTTAGTTTCATTATGTGTTGGTAAAACTGTTTAACACATATACAGTACGAGCTGTTGCCCGCGACTTCGTACGCGTGGTATTAGAAAACATACAAACTATGTAAATTACAAAAAGCTACGTATCCCTCGGGAACCGGACATTTCTCGGGGATGAAGCTTATCCCATGTGTACTCCAGACTTTGTTTTACATCTGTGCCAAATTTCAATAAGATATGTTGAACCGTTGCAGAATGATCAGGTAAACATTAAAAAACTAAATTAATGAATCCCACGGGAACCGTAACTATTCCCGGGATAAAAAGAAGCCTATGTGTTCTTCCCGACTATGCTCTAAACCTGTGCCAAATTTCATGGAGATCCGTTCAGCCGTTTAGGCTACAAACGCTAACAAACATCCATCCATCCATCCATCCATCCATCCATCCATCTATCCATCCATCCATCTATCCATCCATCCATCTAAACTTTCGCATTTATAATATTAGTAAGATTAACTGTACAGTTGGACTGTTTAGTTAAACTGAAGGTGTACAGCGGGCTCTAGACATTACTATAGATAAGTCATTGGAAATGTATAACTACGCTTTGTTAATCTTTATGAATGTAACATGTTGAAGGTGACATACGTGAACTTGTCATAACACAAAAACATTTAACTATATCTCTAGAAAACTAACCTCGCATAGTAAAGAAAATATTTCAATTATTTTAGATTACTCGCCCATAGAATATTATATTTAAAATCTCAACTGTGTTAGTTATATAAAATACTAGTGAACACTGAGTCAACGCTGCAAATCCGTTAAAATAACACAACGTACTTTAATTACTAATTTACTATTTACTAATTAATGTTATAAAAGCCAAAGTTTAGATGGATGGATGGATGTTTATTAGAATTTGTAGCCTAAACGGGTGAACGGATCTCGATGAAATTTGGCAAAACTCATAGGCTACTCGTTTTTGTTTTTTTTTTATAATTCCACGCGGCCTGAGTCGCGTGCGAAAGCTAGTATGATATAATAGTATTATAATTATTATTATAAAAGTAACATGTAGTTACTAAATAACCCGACTTAATTACGCGATACGACACCACTCATTAGTAAATAAACATGAAAAAGCGCCTGTGGTTAAAATGTTTAACAATACGGAATTGTAATCTACGAAAAAGATTAGGCGTTAGCGTGCTACCAATAAATTCGCCGCAAGCCTCGGTAGTAAATTACCTCACTTTTACTGATATCTATTTTTATTTTGTTGTCTGATTTTCAGTGATTTGGTGTTAATCGATGTCCGAAGTGTCACTAGAGATTGCGATGGCTATCGATATTAGTAAAACATCGATTTATCAACGCCTGTTAGAAATAATAATAAATGATTGTTGATGATAACGAATTACTCAGTTTATATTTTTTTAATTAAAATTTTTCTTCGCATTTTTTATCAATAGTCAAATAATATACTATGATTACTATTTTTTTTTTAAATTGCGTTCATAGTTTTAACATTCAGATGTGAATTGGAACCCGAATTCTAAAACTCAAAATTTCTAAACAGCAGTTTCAAGTGTAGTCTATATATGTAGTTAAATAGGAAAATTTTGTTGTGCGAGTTAGTACTTAAGTCTGTTAAAATAGAATTACGAATTATATCAAAAAGCAAAATATAATAAACTTGAAAAAGTTGTTTCTTTGACCCAAATATATTTTAGCTTTACTTACATTAATAATGTCCGTTGCTTATCGCGCTTCCCGGTTACAAGCAAAATCTTTTCAGTCCTTCGCGATACTCGCTTGGGATAGGATGTGTTCCCGCCGCGCTAATTCAATTCATACGTAACTTCGTCAGTGCACACGTGCTTTATACATTCGTAGATGACAGAAATAGTTGAAACTTATTAGTAAAAATCTTTTAGTGTTTAAGTAATACCGTTTTCTATATAAATATTTTCCTGGTACGTATTCTGTATAAAAAGTATTCAATTTCAAAGAAAATTGTTATTTTTCCGTTGGATCAAAAATCTCCGTAAAATATTTTTTGACTCAAACCCTTTTGCTATAGTGAAAGAATACTTATTTCGTCTTAAGGCTACAAGTTATTTATTTTATCCTTCAATAGCTTATGTAACTTTACGCCAATGCAGGCTACATAAATTTCGATAATATGCCGTCTTTTCAGGTCAAATTACAATAGATGATTACTTTGCGTTTGTTTAAGGTATTATACAAAACGCTTTTTAAAACATACCGGCCTTTAAAGTACTTTACAATATTTAAAAGCAAAATTGTAGACGTTTTTATAAATATGAAATGTTTTCAAATTTATATGTCTTAGGGCTTGTCCCGCCAATTTGTAAATTGTCTGATAACAATCAAACGTGTAAAATATGTGATAAATATCGGATTTGTTACCTTATCTGACAGTGACGTCACTTTTTAGCTATCTGAGCCTTTATCAGCCAGTGGTGGGACAGGCCCTTAGTCTTAGTATGATCCAATGATCTAATTAAACTGAAACTAGTTAAAGCCATGCTTCAGTTACAAAGCGAAATAAAACATAATTGCCATCTGCTATTTAGTCTAACAATAATCTACCACATGATTTAAATAGTTCCAACCGACATGCTAATTTGCGTGAGAGTTGAATTATATTTCATTAAATATTTGTTAGAATGTTACCGAAACATCTAATCATATAGGCATCTCTTTCGTTCTCTTTGGAAAAAATAGAGATAAACACATGTTTCTAAAGATGTTAGTGAAACGCAACATGTGAGATTAATTAATTTCTTTATCCCAGCTAATGGTAATAATATAGAAAACAATTTGTTACGTTGTTGAAATAAATTCCTGGCAAGCAATTAACTATTACGTTGTTTTTGCCTGACTGATTTTCCCTTACTCGTATAACAGTTAATTAGAGCATACATATTCTTTAATCCTACTTTACTTATTATGTTTTAGCTTATTTAAATCTAAACCGTTTATTAATTTTATCGCGTTTAGTAAACTTGTTAGCACTTTTAAATTAAAGCTACAGAATTCTTTTGTCTCATATTTTAATGTGCAAATGTATTCCTTAACAGATAATGTATTTGCCCATAAAAGCTATTATGTCTTATATCTGGCGCAAGCATAACATATATCCCAGGGACCCAACTTTGTTGAATAAGTCGTTTGGACCCACTTTTCTACTTAGGATAATGGCTTATACTTATCTCTGTGAAAAGCCTGCTCTTTACAATGAGTTACCACTGTCAAAACACTCATACAAATATTGTCCTTTTCGCTCTAAGGAAAAAAACAGAAATAGTAATATATTCTTTTATCTACGCTTTAGCAGCGGAAGCCCACGGTTACATTTTAAACTTCAACATGTTTTAAATAGACATAGTTAATATGAACTGCTGCTTTTTGTCACAGGGTAGCTATAATTTGAGGTTGTTTTTTAGCTTTTTTCTTAATTAAGATTCAGCTACTCAAGAAAGTTTTGATGTCTGTCGATAAAAGAATAGAATTGTTTTTCTCCCGGTTGTCCTTAGGTTTAAGAAACGTCCTTGCCGCAGTCGTTTTGTGACATAAGCATGCGACATTTTATATTTCTCTTGTCTCCTGAATATGTTTGAATTAATAAATTAAATATTCATAGACAAATTATTAAATTTTCAATTTGCTAAGTGCCGATGTATTTAGACATTCGCATTTATAGATGCGTTAACAAACTTTAATGCCCAGAAAGATGGATACTATTTGATAGTTACTTAAAAGTCCTTTAGTAGTCGCTTAATATCTATGAGTGTATTATCCTGGTAGGCGATTTAACATCGCGTGTAAGCGCACATATTTAAATCAATGTTAATTTAATGTGAAAAAAGGTTAATTTAGGTCAGAAAAGTAGATTTCATTTTAAGTAAGGTTCTAAAGAAAATTATTTAATGATGCATAATTACTCCTTGCAGATTAAAATACAAAGTTACTGAAAAATATAATTGTAAATGAGTGCAGTTAAAATGAAATATAGTTTTTATATCTGCCTAGAATTACTATTTCGTTTGCGTGAATTAAAGAATGTTTTGTAGTGAAAAAGTAGTATGTTTTTAAAAAAAAGTTATCTTCTAAATTACTTGGGTACTCGAATTATAACGACAATCAATTATTTTTCCAAAATATCCTACTAAAGCTTTCATTCTCTATATGTACATACATTTTAATTCTGTGTCTTAGTAAAGTGTCTTTTCTGAAAGAAAAAAAAATGATAATGCTTAAATTAAGCTTATATGAAAATTAATGGAACCGCAGTGAAAAATAATTGACAAAGAATCGATGACCTGAACTGCATGTACAGTAACACGCAAACTTAGATTGCATGTATGAGTAACGACTGACTAACCTGTATTTGAAAAGGCTCAGCTAAATATAGAATAGATATTATTTTCAAAAAGAGGTCAGCCAGCAATAACCACAATAAGTACAACTAGACTCAAATTATCGTAATCAGAGTCGTTGAACGATTACTATCAGAACCGCTTAGTGCAGATTTAGTGAGAAATATTACATCATATATGTATAAAATAAACGTCTTTAAAAGCAAGGTTTACTTCATATCAAAGACCACAATAATTGGTCCCTTTCGTCATATTTAAATAAGAACTTAGTTTACAAATAAACTTTATTCTTAATATTTCAAACAAACGTTTCGATTTGAAACAATAATCTCAGAATATTCAGACATTTCAAAAGAGATAAAATTATGATTGCATTTACAGGTTTGTACGACACGTTTGTTTTTAATTATTGCCATGGATCTTAACATTGCTTAGAAAAAGTGAATAGAAGTGTTTGAGATGTGTAAGAACGTGAAGGGCGTGTCATGGGAGACGGAGGCGCTGATGGGTGCGGCGCCGAACAAGCCGTCGCGCTGGGATACATTCTGCCCGCGAGCTGCGCTGTCGCACATCGGCCTGCTAGTCGCTCTCATGCTCTACACCGCTGGAGGTGGATTGGTTAGTACACTTTGATAATTTCGAGAATCATCATGACCATATCTAATCTATAACAACATATTCGGGGTAAGCAGAAATTATACAATCGTGACACATCTTAACAAACGGCTAAACTAATACTAGTATTCCCGTTTGTGTATCAACTAGTTTGGACCCTTCAAAGCGCTTTATTATTTCCTAAAACTAGTCGGTATCTGAACCGGATAACAAAAGGTTGTTTTGGGTGTTGTCACAACATATTTTGTTAAATAATAAAGGTTTTGACGATACAAATGGTTTATTTCATGCATGTCTAAACGCAGGCATTAAGACATTCGAATTATCACAAAGATAGGCCACAGGGTTCTATCTATGTCTTGGTTAACAAAATAAAAAAACTCAAACAATTTCTGTCTTAAATTCTTACGTGAAACAATTGCGGTAAATTAACAGAGACATAGTTTAAATAGTAACTTAAAATACTTTGTGACTTCTTATCGTTCTAACTTAACTATTCGTCGTATTCTTAGAAGCAGTTTATGTTAACAGTAACATAGTTATTTTAAAAGTTAGCGAATTCGTCTTCAAACAAGTTAATTGGACTTTCCTTAATTTTTTCTTCTTCGAAAACTTCAAAGTTTGTTGTGTCCCCTGGATGTTTAACTTTCGGTATAAACGGTGGTTGAAGACGCATGTTTAAAAGTGCGTCCCAGTCGATTTCCTTAAACCATTTATGATTTTTAAAATCTAAAACTCCGTTTTTTAGATTACCATAACGTCTAGTAACATCGACTTGAAGGACATGAGATATAAGGTCTTTTAATTCCATTGTGAAGTGGCTGGGGCATCGATATTTCCCTGCGACTATTTTTTCGTAAATCCTCATTGGATCAGAAGCAAAAAATGGTGGATATCCAGCACTCATTTCAAAAAGCAAAACTCCCGTTGACCACCAGTCGACGGTGGACCCGTAACCCTTACTTAAAATAATTTCCGGAGCTAAATACTCTGGCGTGCCGCACAGAGTCCAAGTTCTACCGTGGATAAGCTTGCAAAACCCAAAGTCTGTTATCTTAATGTATCCGTGACGGTCAATCAATATGTTCTCCGGTTTTAAATCACGATAAACTAAATCTAAAGCGTGAAGATATTCTAGAGCTAAAATAACTTGAGCGCCGTAAAATTTCGACGTAGTCTCTTCGAATTTTCCCAATTTACGTAAATGAGAAAACATTTCACCGCCCGGAATAAATGGTAGAATATAATAAAGATATACGTTGTCTTTAAAAAAGTATTTCATGTACACGACGAAGGGGAAATTGAGACCACACAATATTTTCTTTTCGTAAAAACTATGCTCGACTTGTTTTAATTTGACAATCTTTTCTTTTTCAAGCATTTTCATTGCATAATATCTTCCCGTGGTAACATGTTTAGCCAAATAAACCACACCGAATGCTCCTGTACCTAAAACTTTATATTTCTCGAAATCTGATATTTTCGCAGTCGTTTCGGGAGTTTCGTTCCATATCTCTAGAAATTCTTTGTGAAGTTTACGCATGTACAGCGTATATTGTTCTTGTTTCGCTTGAGTATATCCCCCGCCCGAAGATGATGTTAGAAAACGATTGGAATCCTCTGCCATTTCTATTTGTTGTTTCAACCAGTGAATTAAAAATTTAAATATTTTTTTTGATAAATTAACGAGATGATAGAAGTCAGAAAAAAATATTGACATATAGAACATAATATTATAGACAAGAAAGTTTTAATGCAAAAAAATAATAAAGGTATCGTGTGTAACCAAAGTATCCAAAGTATAAAATAAGTTACTGCTCGCAGCGTAAAACTATAACAAATTCCAAATTCTAAGATTTCCATACCGTCTTCTTAACCCGTCCCACCCATTCCCAAGTCCTGGTACTCCTGCAGCATCAAGATGTTCTTCCCCATCCGACTTTGCTAGTGCGACAGGTAGTATATTATCAAAATGTACATTACCCTTACCAAAACTATTTTTAATGATATAAATAGCTCCTTTTTAATTTTGTAACAAATACTTTGATCAACCTTTTTTTATCTATTGGCAATAGACAATACATATCTAAACGTCACAAATGCCAGCATTGCTTGGCATCGAGGCAGCCGAGTCAATAATATTACCTCAAAACAAATATGAAACAAACAACTAAATTCACTTATAATTGGATTTTTAATGGCCAAAACGCTTTTTTCATATCAGAACCACGTTGATTACATGCATTATTTGGATACTCTCAAAGAAGATTTCAACAATAAGTATAGCGAGCCAGAAAAATACAAAGGAAAGTGTGAAGATTATGATATCATAAAGAATATCGGAAGTGGTGCATATGGTGAAGTGTATTTAGTAAGAAATAAAAATACTTTATGTTATCGTGCCATGAAAGTAGTGGAGAAGGCTTCGGGAGTCGAATCGAAGTCTGTCACCAATTTAATCGCCGAAAAACATATTCTTCAAGCGATCAGGTTTCCGTTCATTATACCCTTGGACGAGGCGTTTAAAGATAATGTTTATGTTTTTTTTATATTTCCCCTTATGTTTGGTGGGGAATTATTTGAGAATTTACAAAGTGTTGGCAGTTTCTCGGACAATTTGGCGAAGTTTTATGCCAGCCAAGTTACTTTAGCGTTAGAATATCTACATCATTGTAATATAGTTCACAGAGACATAAAACCGGAGAATATTTTGATTGCTTCTAACGGATACATAAAATTGTGTGATTTTGGAATTGCAAAAGTATCTGCCAAAAAGACTTACAGTCTTTGTGGTACACCGGAATATTTAGCACCAGAAGTTATATCCTCTAAAGCATATTCTTTCCCAGTAGACTGGTGGGCTCTAGGTATTTTAATATATGAAATGCTTTCTGGATATCCTCCATTTTTTGATTCACAACCGGCGAAGATATACGATAAAATATTAGAGGGTCATTACAAATGTCCAAAGTCGATTAATTCGGATTGTAGAAATCTTCTTAAAAGTCTTTTACAGGTGAAACCGGCAAAGCGCATCGGTTCTTTCAAAAATGGTGCATACGATATTAAAATTCATCCTTGGTTCAATGGGGTATCTTGGCATTCTATATTACAGCAAAGTGTCGATCCTCCTTATATACCAAATGTATCACTGGAAAAGGAGTTGGATGAGTTGATGCCAACAAGTCAAAATATACTAAAAAAGTGTTCCAAATGCATGTTTCAATCGGAATTTTCAGATTTTTAAGATATATCACGTTTGATTCTATTATATTTTAACCTTGTGTTCCCTTTGCTGATATATTCGTCCAAGTAATACTTTCATAGAAAGATAACATGTTTCTGTACGGATGTTTCGATGGCGGAAACGTGGAAAAGTTTTATACACAGTATTGTGTATTTGTATATCCATTAGGGTTTTAATATTTTTATTACAATTTTGTTTATTGGAGATACAAATCAGTTATATTTTTCGGGTTCTCTCAAAAAGGAGTTTTTAAATTTCTTTTAATTAATATGTGAGACTATGTTTAATTTATGTTTGGGGAGAATTTTGTTCGAAATCTAACCTTTTTTGATAGCCTCTTTATGATCTACGATTGTAATAAGGCTGAAAGATGGTTAAAACGATTTTATTATCATTTAAGATTTTTATCGTTTCTAGTTTTTTTGCCTATAGTTTTCTTTAGTGTTATCGCTACACTTAGAATTATATTACATATAATTAGAATTTATTATATCCTGATAGGCAATATATGTATAAATCCATAAATAAAGTATTATAGCTGTTCTCTGTTTTATTTATTTTACAAGACCTTTAATGCTAGTTTCATTGTTGAACTATACAAATAGAAAAGTTGCCTTAAGCCAATGCACGAACAATATTTATCGATGAAAGCAATTATAGCAGCACGGGCATTATGTCAGAAACATTACACTTTCATTTGTTCGTTTTTGTAACGGGATGAAAATATATAAAATCACATGGACCGACGACATGAATATAAAAAATTGCATCAACGGGGGCGCTAATGAACCATCATAGTTTAGTTTCACTGATGCCTTCAGCTATCTTGTTGGTCTGTAATCATGAAAATGACACGGTTTACTTGTCATTGTGACATAACCAAAACTATGACAATATGACAGGTACACCTCGTAAAAATGTAGAAACCAATTTGCTTTACTCGAGTGCTTTACAAGCCAATCATAAAAATTATTTAGATTATTTAAAACAAGAATTTATCAGAACGTATGAAAATCCCACGCAGTGCGATAAAGCAGCGGACGATTTTGATAAAATCAAAACATTGGGAGTCGGTGCTTACGGTACAGTATTTCTCGTTAGAGAAAAAAATACCTTTACCTATCATGCAATGAAAGTATTGGAAAAAGCGGAGATTGTCAAAAACAATACAGTTAAACAGGTGCACCGTGAAAAAAGAATCTTGCAATGCATGAATTTTGCTTTTTTGATTTCTTTAGACTATTGCTGTAAGGACAACGTCTACGTTTATATGATCTTGCCATTCGAAACGGGCGGTGAATTGTTCACTACAATCAAAAAGCTAGGAGCTTTGTCAGAACCATTAGCACAGTTTTATGCTGCTCAAGTCGTCTTAGCCATAGAATATCTTCACAACTGTGGTGTTATTCACAGAGATCTGAAACCAGAAAATATTTTGCTAACTGAAAGCGGATATATAAAGCTTTGCGATTTTGGTTTCTGTAAAGTAATCAAAAACCGAACGTGGACGTTATGCGGTACACCTGAATATCTTGCTCCCGAGATAATTCTATCAAAAGGATATTCATTTCCCGTCGACTGGTGGGCACTGGGTATACTTATATTCGAAATGATCGCTGGTCATCCACCATTCTACAGTTCCCATACAATAAATCTTTATGAAAAAATACTCGAAGCACGGTTTAAGACTCCCGAATGTATGACACCTAACTGCAAATCTCTTGTCAAAAATCTAGTACTTGTTGATCCAATGAAACGATTTGGTTCCTTGAAATCGGGTGTATTTGATATAAAGCATCACATATGGTTCAGTGAAGTGGACTGGGTTGACATCGTACATCAAAAAATTATACCGCCGTATAAACCTGTTTGTAAAGGATTTGGTGAATCCGTTACCAATTTAGAAACGACTTCTGTGAAATTGAAGAGAGCACCTGTTTGTTTATTTGAAAAGGAATTTGAAAATTTTTAATATGCAATCATTGAAACGATACTATTACAGCTGTAAACTTATTAAACATTTTTATAAGATACATTTTTGTCATATTATTTGAATTGCTACATTGAGTTGTTGCATTTAAAAAACACCATTATAAAAGTCTCCAATGTAAAAGGTTGTAAATGTCGATAACAATAATAGATATTTTATTTGTAAATTAAATAATTAATCTTATTGTACACAGGTTTTTCGCGCTTTGGAGTTTCCCGCAGAAATGGCAAAACAGGAGTATCACAGAGATAGATTACTCTCAGAAAGATGGAATCTTATACGTGTTGTTTCCGATTACGGAATGAACGGAACAGAGTTTGTCAGTATGGAGAAGTTAATCAGTGACCAATTAGCAATTTATGAAAAGGTACGTATAGAAAAAATGTAACTGTAACAGCAAATATTTGAACATGTGTAACCGTTCTAACCCTACAAACAAAAATTTTGCTGCAATAAAATGTCTAATAAACTTCTTATTTTGGTCTTTAACCTTAACAAAATTATGGCATACATGTATGAAAAGAGTTACTGGTAAAACGAATGTTACTTGTTAATTTTGCTGAGGACATTTTAGTCTATATTATACTTTTTAGATATTAGAAGAAGCTTCATCAAGCGGTCTGTCTTTAGAAGTGGAGAAGAAATTTCCCCCTTCTGAGGAAAGGTGGAGCATACTTCAGGCCGTTTTCTTCTCGTCCACGGTGCTCACCACTATAGGTGTGTAAGAACATGTAAGCATACCAGTGCATTTACATTACGTTGCTACTTTTTAATATTTCGGTTTTATATATTATTCTTTTTTTAACAGTAAACTAAATTCCATCTACTGTCTATGACGTTACTCATAATTGTTAATTTAAAAATTAAAGCGTTTTGTTTATGATCCACATATATAGGTTACATTAAATTTTTCTTTCACGATTTTTGTAAAAACAGGCATTAAAAATGTGACGTTAGTTAGTCAATAAGGAACTATTTGAAAAGTCCGCATTGCAGTCCTCTCCTAAATAATATATTCACAATTTACTTAAAGACTACTAGATTACTAGTTACTAGTTACAATTTGCCCCGCAGTTGTGTAATTCAACGAATTATCTGGGATCAATCTGTCTGAGCACTACCAAAAGACTAACATTCTTTTTTTATAATGTAAATGTACGTTTTGTGTTTGTCAACTGGGTTTAGTTAATCGTCTTCTTTTGTTTTAGGGTACGGTAATATTGTCCCAGAAACGTTTTGGGGCAGATTATTTTGCATAGCTTATGCTCTTATTGGAATACCGTTGACGCTGACAGTGATCGCGGATTTGGGAAGAGTTTTCGCCACTGTCCTATCTGTTGCTGCAAAACAGTTACCCGCATTGCCGAGTAAGTTAATTTAAATTAACATGTAAAGGAGCTCCTGTAGACCTTATCTTTCTATTATATTTCTCTGGGATATGCGAAGAGGTGCGTCTATATAATAATCTAAATAGAAGTACTGATTTCAATTCATGCTATTATTCGAGTCGTTGTGTTCTCAAAAATATCATAGGGGCTCAATAAAACGGACTTTATTATTTTTCTTCCAAATACTTCGCAGTTAGTTATTATTTATTAAGTAATTTGTGTTTGTTTTCGTTCAGAATGCTGCAGTCGGGTATCGGAGGTAAACCCTGCGAGTCAGAGGTCATTATACGCACTGTGGGCTGTTTGTTTCCTCTTCGTTTACCTCTCAGCTGGCGCGGCGTTGTTTAAAATGTGGGAGGACGACTGGACGTTCTACGACGGTTTCTACTTCTGTTTTATTACCATGACTACCATCGGCTTCGGTGATCTTGTACCAAGTAAGTTCAAAATACGCATTTTCGTAAAAAAATTTCTCACTTTTTACACTTTAGTATTGTGATAAAATTTGAATGCGTCGCAACCACTTATGTCACTCCCTCTACCCGCATGCGCCCAGCATTTTTGGCAATAGTTCTCGGTACGTTCGACGACGGAATAAAACGCCGCAGTGACGTCACCAATCTCTGATCACTTACTGAGCACCTGTATTACAGTGTATTACCTCTTGGAAACAACATACGCTTGTCAAGAAAGATCGTCTCTTGTATCTAAAATACGTCTTGACGGGATTTTTATTTTTTAGAAAGACCAAAGTACATGTTACTGTGTACTTTATACATATTAATCGGGTTGGCGCTGACTTCTACGATAATCGAGCTGGTGCGGCGGCAGTACGCCAGGTCCTGTCTCCGGCCCGCTGGCAGACACGCTGCGCCGCCTGGGCGACGCGGGCCGCGGCGTCGACGTGTCTGCGCTACACAACGATCTACGCAAAGTTCTCACTATTGTAAGTTGAATTTTGCATTTATTTAACACTCCGTATGTAGGATACGCCGTGTATTAACTGGTGCAGTTCGAAAGATTTATAGAAGTTTCGTAAACATTTTGAATCTTAACTGTGTTTTATTCTTACGTAAGTTGTTATTGGTAGTTGTATTCGGTATTTTTTTTACCTACCTTAGGTAGATAATTCACCAATAGAAAAGATGCATTAGAAAGATTTATAACTAGTTGTTCACATTTCACTATTGATTATATATTTAGTGAAATTGAGTGTTTAGTAGAAATGTTAAGGTAGAATTACTGTGTTTCTTTTTTGGGAAAAGTTTGACCTAGTTTTTTTTTTACTTTTTAATTACTCCAAGTGTAACGCACTAATATTATGCAGGATTTAAGAACATCATGAACTGCTAGTTGTTAATTAAAGTAATGATTTGTACTTAAGAGTTTGGATTATTATTACTAAACTGTATTTTTAATAACGTGTTCATAATTTGAATGATAGCAAATCCGTGCTGAAATTTATTTTATACTGAGATCTCGTCGTATATTTGTTGATCGTTTCTTAATCATCGTAATGCAAAATCAATTGTAGATAAAAAAATAATAGCTCCAACTCTTTATAAAATCAAACAGAATGATTGTGAGCGTTATGTGGTCACGCGCCGCAGACGCGGATGAATCGATTGTGTTGACAGATACCATCTCAGTTTAGTTCGCGGACGAATAAAAACGTCGAGACGACTACACTATTTATTCGTTGCTACGTACAAGCCGAGCGAAATTCTGTTCCAATGTAAATAAAATACCGATATTGTGTTTTGTAATAGACGTCCGTGGCCTTGTTCGATCTGATTGAAATGTTATCGTTATATCAATGTGTAGGGTATATTTCTTAATTGGCAGCGATACGTGCTCTGTTTTATTTAACCCTTAGGTAAAGGGTACGATCATTTTATGTACCTAAAAAATTCTAACGCTTTTTCTAGGCTACACAAGTATGGTATACGAGTTGTACCGGAGTGTTAAATTTGAATGCTTTATTTTCAACTTATTAATTTATTTTTAATTTGGTTTTTGGGTGGCAATGATTCAGTCTTTCGTTTGTTTGGTTTGGTACCTCTTATCTTATTTCCAACTTGTTATTTAAGTTTGTGGTCCCTTCTATGATTTTGTTTTTAAGTTTGTTTGATTTTGTTAGTTTAAACGTCAACACAAGCTCTCGTCTCTTGTAGTCTAATTGTTTATTTAGTTGTGCTATGTTCAGGATCGAGGTCGTCGAGTGCCGATGTGGCAACAGCCACCCTTTTAGTTTTAGTGCCCTATAAACCGTTCGCAACAGCTCTATTATGTTTGGAATAAAACAACCGTTCTTTTTATACCGCTCAAGTTCCATTGAACGTTTTTAGAACTACTTACTTTAAGGACGTACGTCCGATCCGGTGCGTCCAATGTCAGGAAGTTCCAACCAATTAACAATTGAATTTTTAAGTTGAACATTAAAATTACATTCTTCATCTTTTTTGTACATACTGCTATCTCTGTTTTTTCGGTCTCGTTAAGCGAGATAAAACATATAGGCGTTTTATACCCAATGTTCTTTTATTTGATAAAATACTGTTCTCTACTGTCTCATGTTGCAAATATTTCAGAAAGACAGCAGTAACAAGACGCACGTTGGGACGAGGGTATGTGGTACAGATATGCTTTCAAAGGTTTTTAAGGCAAACGCTAGCTAAATAAGCTTGCGCCTTTAAAGCCATAAAAGCTATTCGCCAATTACTTATTTTGCGACTTTAAGCTTAAATACAAGGTTACATTTTTTACAGTTTTAAACTGTAATTTATTAATGTAAATATTAAAATCAAAATAATAGAAATTTTGCAGGTGAGTTTGTCTAAATCAGGATTTACTTTGCAACGGCTACCGATAAATTGAGGCACTGAAATGGAAAATATTTTTTTATAGGGTGTGATAACACGGTCTTGGAGAGGAATTTAAAATGCTTTACTATTTTTGTCTTCCTTAAGTACGTATTTCAAATATAGATAAGAAAAGTACATACTTAACTTTTAGTAATAGAATAAAGCTAAAGACCTAAATAAAAAAGTTGTTATTTACTTAAGCTTACATAAATTCAATGCACATTCCAAACGCTATTGTTCTCACTTTAAAAAGCGTAGACAACACTAGTAGATATCTTGCACATGAGTAACTTATTTTCGTAGTTGCTTATGGGCATCTTTTGGGAATAGACTAAAATAAAATAAACTATCTAGACAAATAAATATTTTATATATAGCCGTTCCTCTGAATCGTTAAAGTTTGATACAATGAGATAAGCTACGAGTCGAATTTTACGATGTATATTTATAAGTTTCTGATCCGTTGGTTGTAAAATCGATCCATTATAAAAGTGCGTCAGAGTCACAGTGGCCTTCCTGTGATCTAAACACTACGTCATTTTGTAAGGATTTAAATTGAAATGTAGCTCAAAAATAAATGCCACTGTCTACATAGCATTATCTACTTGCAGTATAATATCACGATAAATTATATGAAAAAAAGGATTAGCGGAATGATAAATATGTTGTATTTATGTGTTTTGAACGTGAAAGTCCACCCTAAATGTACCAGACTTCTACCAGAATCTAATTCGAATAAAAAAAAATGGCGAATGTTAAAACTAAATTATGTAATTCAACTAGAATGCGAATACGCAAATACACCAAAGTGTAGAACAAGTTATCAATCAACTAAATTTATGGTCCATCCTAAGAATGCTTATGCAAGTAATTTACGCACAAGACTATTTATCTTTAGCTGGCCTTTTCATCTATTAATTTTATTCTCTGCGGTAAGTAAATTCGTCAGCAAACAGTTTATCTTCTGTTTCATATGTAAATATAGCATTATTTAACTTATGCTTTACTTTACATATTTTAGAAACATAATAGCTTTATTTAAATTATTAGAAAATATATAAATAAATATCAGATTTTAGATGACGCATTAAAACCGCATAAATTAGACAAAAATGTAAAGGAATTTTGGATATCTGGCGTATACTACAAATAATCAATTAATTTTATTTGATAACTATGCATAAATTCTGTGACATTAGATTTATTTTAGTAGCTATCATCATTTATGCAGTTTAAATGGTTTTAGAATGTTTCATCACTTGTTATTTTTGTTACAGGTGACCATGCCGAGATTAGGCAGCGGTAAAGATGTGTTAGGTGAGAAGAGGCAGCTAGAGTTGGAAGCCGCTGTGGAAGCGGTGATCAGGGACATCACCACGCCGATACAGAGCCCACAGAAGCCTCCAATCGTGCAAATAGTTATTTACGAATCATCTGTATAGTATCTACTCGCGTTATGGTTACGTGGAATACGCACGCTGAGTTCCTTGAGCGAATAAATCCTTCGTCAAGAAACATTTTCGAACAATAAATACGCTTAAAAGTGCACAGATGCTCCGCGATATTTATTCAAGCGTTGAGAATTGATGCTTTCTTTCCAAAACTGTTTTTCCTCGCAGAGGTAAATAAACGGAAAAATCTAAAAATACAATTCACTTGTCTTTTGTTTGTATATTTATACAAGAAGACAACGTATGCTTTGTTCGCGTGTAAGAGTTTTTTGTAAATTAAAAATATGCTATTGTTCATATAGTATTATACCTTAGTTAAGAATTTATTGTTGATTTTGTTTGTAAGTGAGTCGGAGCCTCTATACAATCTCATTGGCTGTCGTGTGTGTATGACCTTATGGGACCACACTCTTCTCACATTGCCTTATTAAGAGAAAAATTTAAGTATGTTTGTGGAAAACTCTAGTTAATAATTAATGATTCAAACATGTCTATTTTTAATAAGTCTGTGATTACAGCCTTATAAGTTTACGTATTATGTTTACAATCACAGAGGTTCAAAAAGTATACAGAGGAAGCATGATTGACGATTCACTTGAAAAGTTGTTTACATAATCTAAATTTGACATTGTGTTGTTACCGGTAAAAATGTGCTTCTCTATGTCTAGTATACATATTTCTTAAATCTCTTTGGTTGTAATTTATCATTTTAAGTCTCCCGAAGAATAATTATTTCTCCACACCTGAGCTGATTGTCTAGCGTTACTCATTATTCAGACATTTTGGCTTACAGCTGCCAAACTTTTAACTCTCTTGTCTACTGCGGACACTTGTTTGATATTTAAGGCTGAATTTAAAAATAAACATTTTCAGTTGTTTGACAGTTTCGTGTATCACTGTGAGCGTTGTTTTGAAATGACTTGTTCTTATAGTGTAAAGGGGATAGTGATATTATGTACGAAATACTTTTTTTATTCATTTTTAATATTGTTTTACTGTACTAACTTATACAGTAGTCAGAATATGCCTTAATCAAAAATGTTTATGTGTATTTTTGGTGTAAAAAAACTTACATTTTTGTATATTGTAAAAATAATAGTTAAGTTAATTTATAAGTATAAGAAGACAAAGATATTATTTGTCGAATATTATTTCCATAATTTGTTAGGCTTGTATTTTGTTTTCTTATTGTATAGATGCGTGTAGTTTATTTTAAGTTTTGAATATGAGTAGTGCGTTTTATCGTTAATAAGAGTATATCAAGTAGAAAGTAAATATTAAATGTGGAAATATAAATGAATTATCGGTATGTTTGAGGTGGCAGTTGCTTACGAGTTTGCTGAAGTAACTTCTAATTTGGGACGTTCGTACCTAAAGTGTAAGAATGCCAGCTTCGGGCTCATCCGCGGTATGCGACTCAGGTGCCGTGCCAATACAAAAATATGTGACACTTGTTTTTCAAAAGGTTTTTTTTTGAGAGTTGATTTTGTTTAGGTGAAAATGTAACGTAATATGTACAAGATGTTATTAAATGCTTTTATTCATAGCTAAAGGCTGCATGCGTGTAATGCCAAACGCAGATTTAAGTATAATAAAATAACATTCGCGATAAAGAGCTTTTTGCCATTTTCTACGCACACCAGCAGATATTACAAGACGTTGTTAAAGTGATGATTAGTTTAATGAAATATGATACCAAGTGGGAAAACGTTCTGATAATGGATGATGATTTGATTACTGCTACGCTGTATTGAAACGCACAAATTTACAATTTGGCACAACTCGCGTTTCTCAGCAAGATGAGATTTTGGATACTAATGTATAATAAGGTATAATAAGTTGAGTCGCTTCCATTTTCCCGTTACTGTTATCATAAATTCCTTTAGTGTCTTTTATTTAGTGATGGCTTATCGTCCCTAATGTGTCATATTTCTCCAAAACTATTTAACATTACGGATATCATAACTAAAAGTCTCATAAAGTATTATTATTTTATATTTAATGTTATGTTATCCATTAGAGTTGCGAAATAAAACGTCAATATAAAAAGTGTTTTCTGGCTAGTGAATATTATTTATTAATCTGTGGTTTGAAAAACAAATACTCTTTTCAATTAAATTTTCAACAAAGAAAATGCCAAGTGAATCATAAGCAATAAAATTCAATTCAAAACGACGTAATGTCACCGATTCGATCGTAAAACTTTTGGCAAATCTATTACACTGTGAAAAAACATTTAAAAAAGCTTATAAGAGTTGCCAGATATTTGTCAGTAAATAATGTTATATTTACTATCACTTTATTTCATAAATAATAATTGTTATGGAGTTATAAAATTGTGTTCATAGTGGAATCGTTTGCATGTCGCGAGTTATTCAGTTTTATACGAAAATGAATATATGTATTAAGAAATTGAAATGTTGCTATACTTATGAATTTGAATATACGCATTTTGTTAAAACGTAGTTTTATTCTTTACTTTAGTGTCGCCTTTATCAACTTAATAGGCCTACTTCACAATATTTAAACATGCCGCAATGGTATTTAATAAACAGTCGTTTTGATAGGTGTAGTACTTCCTTACTTGTTGGTTTAATACGAAATTAAATTTAAAAAAAAAACTTTATATTTCACTCAAATCAATTTATAAAAGACTTAAGTATCATACAAAATCTGATGCGAAGTGTTTGTGGCAGACCATTAATATGAATATCAGTTATAAATTTTAACAAATGTATCTTTTGACAGAAGAGAATAATAAATCACTGCAATAATGGCGGATTGTTTTTTTGTAAAGTGCTCGCAAAGAACATCTCAGTTTATATGGATCTATTTATAAGCGTACTATAGCAAGCATGTTAGATGGACTTTGCGCAAATATTGATTGAAATACAATTCGATCTTGACGTCTGATAGACAAGGAAGAAATGCAGATGATGTATTTATGTTCCATCCGTTATATCAATCTATCAACTAGTTAGTGTATACATCTAGACTAGGTACAATCTTGATTTTGATTTTTTCCGTACATTCTTCTACTCCATTTGCCCTTTCCATAAACTCCTCAATGGACTTAAAACTGGTAGACATCAACGATAGTAAGCACACGAAAATTAAAATAAATCATAACAAACATTTTTATACTAATATTGAACAGAGGAAAGATTAGTATTTTTGTACGTATTGCAATATCTCAAAAACTACTGAGCCGATATCATTCTTTCAACATTAGAAAGCAACGTTATCGCTGAGTAACATAGGCTATATTTTAAATATCACATAGACGAAGTCGCGAGGAAGAGCTAGTACTTACTAAAATATTTTTATTATTATTCCAAAATCCCGCAATAACATCAATTGTACTAATGCGCGGCTTCAACCTACCTCGACTCCACAGAAGATAAGCAACAAATTTGATCTTCTAGTCTGATTATTATCTACTACGAGTATAAAGAGGAACAATACTTTTATTGTTAAAATTTATAACACGAGTAAATAATATGACGTGCAGGTGTAACATCAAAGCGATCGGCTTTTAAAATAAAATGCAAAGTTATAAATACAATACTCTCATCCAGATATTTAAAGGAATGCGTAATGCTTTTATTTCGTACGACATTTTTGCTCCTGATTTTTTCTGTTCTGAATCTCACAACGCGAAAATTAAATTAGTATGCATTGTTCTAATTAATTCGATTAGTCTAATTTTTCGCACTGATATCTCGTTCATTTGTTTTTGCAATTTTAAAAACTTGTAATGCGACTATATTAAGAGTAATGGTGTGTGTCGCTATGAATCTCAATCTGCACTCAATGCTGCTTCGTTGATTTTTTTCATTTGACAATAATTCTCTTGTTTAATTGATTTAAAGCCCCATTAACCGAAAACGTTCTAAAAGGTACTTTTCGCCCGCAACTCCGTCATCGTGATATTATAAAAAAAAGTATGTAGGCTATGTGTTTTTCCAGACTATCCTCTACATCTATGCCAAATTTCATCAGAATCTGATAAGCAGTTTAGGCTCCAAACAAACATCCATCCAACTAAACTTTTGAATTTATGATTGTAATTGAATTCTGATTCTATAATAATGAATAATTCATGCAATTGTAAATAATCAATGTAATCAGGATTTCTAAGAATAATTTGTTGCGTTCGGTATGTTAAACTGTTTACGTTACGTTTTGTGACAGGATGTGAACTTTAATACGTACGTTTTATAGCCACGTAACATTTCCCGCACAGCGCGACGCTTTCATGACGCGACAAATTTTGTGGAAACATTAAGAAAGTTTCCGCATCTCGTTACAAGCGATTTGCGGGAACAGATCGACCCAATTTATATATTACTTGGCTTTTAATTTGGCACGTAGGAAAGAAGAATTCCCAGGTGCTCGACGTGCCAACCGTAATACAAAATGGTCGTCTCATTCAGACATGTTTTCTTGTTTCTTTCAATTGTAAAATGTGAGAAAGCTGTTGATTAATGGAGGATGTAACTTAATTTGAACACTAATGAATGTTACATTGTTGAGAAAAAGTTGATTAAAAATAAATATTGTACAAAACAGTACTTTAAAAATTAATCAATCATTTCTCAACAAAATCCCTTAAGATCTGTTAATGGATACATCGATCATGGATGTCAAGCTGGGGTAAACGATTTATTTCTGAAAAACTTCGCCGTATCGATTACTTTAAAACACAATATAGTATGTGAACATATTTGCAAATTAATTGAAAACTTGATTTGTTGAAACACACAACTTGTAAGTTTTTAATTCTTAGTTTCCAAAAAACTCTTCCATTCCATTGCTAATGAGTTGACATTATCACAAACTTTATGAACAACATGAAGTTCATTAGCGTGCAGCACACGACTGTATTTACCAATAAATTGATTGGACCACAATAGAAACAACCAAATATAACTGTAAATTTCTACAGCTAAAAGACTTGTATACGACGAGCGAGGTAGAAGATAGGAGGCATACAATGAGGAATATATTTTTGTATATATTTCAATGTATAAATAGGTTTTAAAAGTATGGTTTATATTCAATTTGAATTCTTTTACGAAGTGTTTTGTAGATTATTCTGTCACAAGTTTAAAATGTGGGATGTTTTATTTAATTTTTTATTTTATTAATCTCCTTACTTTTCACGCATACATCAAAAGATTAGTTAAAGTGTTATTTAATGTGTAAACGCTGTAGTGTTAACGGGTAGTGTTTTGAAGTAAATGCATTTATAAATACTGGATAACTGGCCGTTGAAATCCTTGTGTTGTATTTACGTTACGAAGTGTTTCTGGTATTTTGTTTGAATCATTGAGATTCAATAGCTTTTCATAGTGATTTACATTTGCTACTAGTTCTTATAGAGACTAAGGTCCAATAACTTGAATTTTATCAGTGACTAGCTGTTCCCATGCTGCTTCATCCGCGTGAAATTATAAAAACTTTATTTCATTATTTCCTTTTGTCAAATTCTCAATTGCAAATGTTGTAATTGTAGTTTATGGTCCCTTTACCACATAAAGTTTTTTCAATTTATTAAGCCCCTGAGTTTAATAGCGTGAAAATATATAAGAAAGAAAGAATTATTCAAAAATGTAGTGTGATTGCTGACAACCTACGCCACAAATTAATGTGTGTTTACGCTGTGTTACATTTGTATAGAAGTATAGATTATTTAAAAGAAAATAAAACTCAAACTTGTTTAATAAATTTTATTATAGAACACTTTTACTGTTGTCAAAATAATAATTAAATCCAAATTAGAACCCGGACAATATAAAAATAACGGTACTTAGCAACAAGAGTAATAGTTATTAAAGCCATCTAGCTTCAGTTCTAATATAGTCATAGCACGCATTGTAAGCGCCTGGCAAAAAAAGTCAGTAAAACATCAAAGATAACATCATAGTGTAAATATACAATGTAACGCGGAACAAACAACGATGGGATGTTATAGGATGTCCATCCGGCGACCTTCAGTTTGTTGTGCGAATTGTTACTGTGTTGTATATTAGTAAACTATGATGCAAATATTTATGTATTCAATTTATATTTGCATTTATATCATAATGCAAATTTATTATTTAATCCGGAAGTTTTATATAAAATAATTAATGTTTTATCTCAGCTTTAGAGTTCAAAGAAATCGCATAGTTTCTTTCAAAAAATAATCTATCAACAATTTTTTTTTTATCTGAAGGTAAAATTAACTAAATAATTTCCTTTATCTGACCTTTTAATGTATGTACTGTTGTTCTTTAATCGGTTTTTAATTAGTCTAATACGCTTTATTAATCTAATCGTCGATTCATCAGAAACGGATCGGGTTGCAATTGTCTTAATTAAGATCAAAGTAACATAATCCCATGTTTGTTTGTACCAGTTGCAAAAAATCAATTCGTATCCAGTTAAATCTGATAGAGAAGAAGACCACTGGAAGGGATTGGTTTTTAAAAAAATAATGCAGGACAAAGTCAAAATTCTCCTAAAAATGTATCTGGTCCTCGAGCTGTGCTTCTGTCTCTTTTAATACTACTGACTCCGCAAATGTGGCCTCAATCTCTGCCTTCATACACTTTGGTAACACAAAGATAGCATCATAGAGAATAGCATAAACTTGTATATGGATCATTCATTGCTATTAGAATATATCTTTGGCATGGAAAGTGAATTGCGGTGCGCCTTTGCAACATCATTTTCGTCTTTATGGAGCAATAAAATATATTCGAATGTTTGTTTAAGATGAGTAATTTATGGCATAAACACTTCGCTCTGTCGGACTCGATGCGGTGCAATAGAACGGACATAAGCTTGAAATATTGTGCCAAATAACACTGAACATCTGTGAAATTATATATAATACTGCATTATCTAGTCAGCAATCATCGTTTTAGGAAATCACTACAGGCAAGTTACGTCTATTTATTAAAAGGATTTGACTATATTTCCCCTGACATATAATATCTGCATAACTACGATATTACGTATATTGTCGGAACAGTAAATATTCCGCATACCTCGTTTTGTTCCAGTCTGCTGAGTCACAGGATATGATCGACCCAGATGTCCGACGAATGAAAACGCCGTGTCAAATACAGCGGTATTGACAACGAGATTTTTATGTCCTTATTTTATAAGACTATTTTTGCAGGAAAATAATAATCAGATAGATAGGCTTCTTACGAAATTCTAAAAGAATAATGTGTCAGTTGATTTTATATGCAAAAGAAGCTTAATGAAAATTGTAAACCTAAAGAAAATTACCTTTTCATGTAAATTGTACCATAAAATCATGGCAGGATATGCAAATTTGTAATTTGTAATCGTTTATTTTGGATAGACGTGATGGGTTAAAAATATTTATGAATTTGGATGGTTTATTATGGATTTGTGGAAACACTT